CGTTATATGAGCCTTTAAGTCTGAAGTGCTAATGTTAACTCTAGAAGATATGAGATGGAGCTGCTTATTTTTGCTGGGCTTGGTATCATGCCCCCACCCCCAACACACACACACACACACACACCGTGGTTGCAAGGTAAAGAACTGAGCAGGGAGGACTTGACATTTCCTATGACTTTTGAGACTACTCTTCAAGGTATAATGACTGAATGGTGAGGGCAGATAGATGAGTGGGGTTCAGTTTGCTTATTTGCCTTCAGTAGGCCAGATCCCATTTGGACCTGAGGCCACACCAACAGGGAAATGAATGCCAGCATTTAAAATTTAAAACACGGGGCCTGGAGAGATGGCTCAGAAGTTAAGAACACTCACTGTTCTTCTAAAGGTCTTGAGTTCAATTCCCAACAACCACATGGTGGCTCATAACAATCTATAGTAAGATCTGGTGTGCAGGCAGAATGTCGTATAAATAATAAATAAATCTTTTAAAAAAAACACATATAATTGAAACACATATAATTTTTTATCTAGGGATGTGAATGTCTACATATCTTGCTCCAGGAATGCCTCCTATTTTTTTTACTGCTATTTATGGTTTATAATTATGCGTGTTGCTGCATGTATTTAAGGGCATGAATGTTGAAGTCAAAGGAAAACTTCCAGGTAGCAGTTTTCTTCTTCCACCATATGGGTGCTGGGCATGGGACTCAGGTTGTAAGGTTTGGTGGCACATGCTTTTAACCACTGAGCCATCTTGATGGCCCTGGTGTTTTTTTGAGACAGGCTACCCTTGGTTATATGTCTTTGTAACTGAAGCTGGCCTTGAACTTCTATTCTCCTGCCTTTACCTCCAGACTGCTGAGACTGTAGGCATACAACACCATGCCTGGTCTAGTCAATGCTGGAAATTTAACCTTGTACCTATTTAGCAAGCACTTGGCCAACCAAAATGTATCCCTCTCCCTCAGTTCCAGGTTTTAATTAGTTCAAAGAATTAGGCTTGGTGATAAATGCCTGCAATCCCCACACTCAGGAGAGAGAGGTAGGAAAAGCTATTCAAGGGTAGCATGAGTCCTATTTACATTTTGTTTTTTCCAAAACAGGGTTTCTCTGTGTAGCTTTGGTTGTCCTGGAACTTACTGTGTAGACCGGACCAGGCTGGCCTCGAACTCATAGATATCTACCTGCCTCTGGCTCCCAAGTACTGTGATTACAGGCATGTGCCACTACTGTCCAACATTGAGGCCCCTGTCTTAAAAAGAAAAAAAATTTAGTTGCAGTAGCCTGACATTTTAAAAATCTGTGTGAACAGTAATACTTGTTTTTACCTTAAAACAATGCAGATAGTATTAAATGGATGCACACAGACATGCCATTGGAGTGTCAGCACAGAGATTTGAATTTAATCTGGGTTCTCAGAGGGGCCATAGAGTAGAAGTACAGCTTGTCTGCAGCCCAGGGCAGGGTTGGATCATCTATATCTCCTACATGGCCACAGTAGGCAGGGGAAGCCTGGAGATCCGAGGAGAGTGGGACAGCTTAGAGCAGCAGTTCTGTTGAAAGAGGAGCCTTTGTGGATTAGGCTGTAGGAGGGAGGAGGGTAGGAAGGAGGCCTTGCTATGACTGCTATTGAGGCTGAGTAAATGTGCAAAGTTGACTCCAGCCCTTTGGGAACTCCAGTCTCATCACCTGGAGGTGATGCATACCTGTAACCCCAGCACTTTGGGAGGCTGAGACAGGAGGGTGTGGAGTTAAAAGCCAGTGTGGGACTATAGAGACAGTTTGGAGGGGAAAAAAAGTCAGATATATTGATGGATACCAACGCTAGAGAGACAGAGACAGCCAGGCAGTTGTGGCATGTCTTTTCTCCAACCACTCAGGAGGGAGAGGCAGGCAAATCTCTGTGAGGTGTGATTCTAGGATAGCCAGGGCTACCACCCTGTCTTGAAAAACTGAAAGAGAAAAAGAGAGAGGGAGACAGAGACAAGCAGGTCTATATAGAAGTTGGGGTTCCATAGTAAGACCTTGTCTCAAAAACCCAACAGAACAAAACCCTTTTGCAGTCATCCTCTCTACTTAAGACACATCTGTCCCACCCATTTGCCAGTGGAATCAGACACATCTGTCCACCCAAGCAGGAAGGGATGTTGTGTGGGACCTAGCTACTCAAGGCCCTGTAAGAAACAGTTCTCTGAGCTAGGCTTCCTCATACACAGTATTCTACTATCAGCACCTCTTGGATGGAGCTGTGTAATGCCAGGAAGACTCAGAACCAAAGATATCTGTTGAGCAAATGAGTTCCCCAACAGTCACAGGAAACCCGAAGCAGATGTCCTGAGCCTTCCTGGCTCCTCAGACTGGGATCGGTACCATCTCTTCCTCACCAGCCTCCTCTACTTGTGTTCCTATTGGCTTTTAATTCCACCCTCCTTGAATGTACTTCTTCCAGTACTCAGAACTGATCTATGTTCCCTTATGTCTGGACTTCCCCAGCAACTATGGTTGTATTGGGCTGGCCCCTCTTAACAAGGTGTAAATGTACAAATGACCTTGGACTTTCTAAGTCAAAATGTTAAACCAGCTAAGCTTGGTATCACCTGCTTATATTCTCAACACTGGGAAGACTGAAGCTGGAGGATGGAGACTTAGAGACCAAACAGGTCTCAAAAACAAAAACAAAAAAAAACAAAAAAAACCCTCTCAACTAAACATATGCACACACTTAGTTCATGTAAGTCTACAAATGAAGATGGGGGAACACTGAGTTTGCCACAACCTCTGACCTTGAAAATCCATAATCCCCACAGTGGAAACCTTCACCCTGAAAGTACCCCCCCCCCCAAGAAGCCCTATATAAATCCTGTCTTCTGCTCAATTCTTTGCTGATTCTCACCCAAGCAGAGTCAGACACCTCCTGAATTTTACCCTCCCAATAAATCTCTTGTGTGAGGTTTGTTGTGTGGCTTTGTGATGTTCCTTGGCTCCCAACTGCCAGGATACCTTTTCCTTCAGAGCTGTAACACTTGCAATGGGGAAACCTTCCCCTCATAGTTGCAGCTCTTCCACTGGGGAAGTCTTTCTCCACAGAGCTGTAACATTTACATTGGGGAAGCCTTTCCCCCTCAGAGATGTAACATTTACAAGAACATGGGTGGCTGAAGAGTCTCAACACTCAACAGTTTTTTTTTTTTACCTTAAATTTCAGCATTTCTAAGACCATACACAGATGATCAGGAAGGACTTGAAGGTGAGCAAAATGTCCCCCACACCAAGAGGAAATGTGAACATCTCAGTATTGTATACCTAACTATAATTTCTTTTTCTTTTTCATTACCCTTAAGGGCAAGGTCAGTAAGTCACCACAAGCCCTCCGCTTTATGATGGCTAACAGGACAACCTGGGTAACAGATCTTGTCTCAAAAAATTTTATTTTATGGTTACACTGGCCAACTCAATATAACCAAAGTAATTGATGAAGTTGGGGCTAGCTCAACGGTAGTTTACCTAGTAAATATGTGGTCCTAGACTTAATGCCCCACACTAAGGAGAAAAAAAGATGGTAATGGTCATGTCAAGCCCAGGGGGAAGAGGAATACCACAAGATTCAACCAGGTCTACCCTGCAGAACATTGAAGGCTTGGGAACTCTCCAACCAGGGTGTGAATCCCTAGAACAAAGATGCTTTCAGGGGAGAGGTCTCTGAGGAGCCCCTTGTAGTCCAGCCTCTCCTCACTGAATAGGTAGTGAGAATCTGTAAAAGACCTGATCTCCCAAATAGCTCAGCTGGCAAGCTGAGTTAACAAACTCTACCCATGTAGCCCAGGAGTTTGGGATGTAGAGAACTGCTGCTCTCCGCCAGCAGATGGCAACCAAGGACGGGGTTCACACGAACCAGAAGAAAACAGACAAGGCAGATCCAGTTCAGCATGGCTATATCATGGTTCAACCATTTGATATGCGGAAATAAAGCTAACCCCATCTACAATTAAACTTCCTCTAACTTCTGGGTGGGGTGGACCCAGACCCGTTTAATCTCAGCAAACGGGAGGCAGAGGCTGGAGGATCTCTGTGTGAGCTCCAGGCTACCATGGTATACAGAAAGTTCCTGGTTAGCCCGGGCCTTTTTTTTTTTTTTTTGGAGGGGGGGAGGGGGCTTTCTCCCAAAACAAACAAACAAACAAAAGCCATTAACTGCCTGTTGAAAAATAAATAAAGGTCACCTGTCCAACTGCAGCCTCCAAAGTTAGGGTTGAGTACACCTCATCCTCAATCTCAGACAAAAGCCTCAATCCTCATTTGTAGTACCGTTCGTTATCTGAAGACTGTTAGTGAGAGAGTAATTTATATGGTTGCCTCCTCTGAGAGCTTGCCCACCCGTGGTCCAATTGCCTCCACAATATCCAGGGAGCTTAACCGGGATCCAACAAAGGCCACACTGGGCCTTCCTGGCCCAACAATGCCTCCCACCGGGATCATTTGGTCGTTGGGACGATGGCTGTATTCAAAAGACCAAGGAGTCTCCACTTAGGCCTTCTTCACCGCAGGGCGACGTTTACAATGTTGCTTTGAGAACTTCAAGAAGCAGCAGGTTGTGCATTATCTGTTACCTAAGAGACACAAGTCGTTAGCAGAGCGCCAGCTTTGATTGGTCAGGACCCCGCACCAGCCAATAGAAACCTGGTCCACTGTGCACATGCGTAAGGAGTCTAACCTGCAATCTGGGTCCGCTGTGGGTGAGTCCTACGGCTGGGGTGAAAGAAAAAAAACGGTTGCCAAGTCAGGAGAGGGAACCCCATGAACTCTGTGGCACCTCAGTCTCAAGGACAGGAACGAAACACTTCGTGCGTGACAAGCCCTGGGAGAGTAAGGTCGTCCTTGCTTGAGGCTCACGGGAGACGTAGTCCGAGCGGAAGGGGCCTCGTAGGTGCAGGATTGGCCAGGCTGGTAGGGCAATGCGCGCGAGGCGGGGCGTTCTGTGAGTGGCAGTGGGACGCGCTCGTGCCGTGTCACTTCCCGGAAGTGCTCCGAGCTTCTCAGGCGGCCAGAGGCGTCAGAGGTGAGCACACTCCTAGCTGGGCAGGCACAGCGACTTCCCACGGCTCCCCCCAAGTTCCAGGAGCGCCCCCCAGCCATCGAACACAGAGCATTCAGTCCCATTCTCCTGAAAGACCCACCCCTTTCAGAGACCGGCACCCCAACTCTGAGTGTCTCTTGGACGGACAGGACGGGTGCCCCAGGAGAGCCGGTTTCAATCCAGCGCGTCTTAAGAGCTGGGACATAACGTTTCAGTTTACGACTCCACACAACATAGGGCTGTTTGCATTGGCCTTTTTTGCGGGATTTCACATACGGAGGCTGATGCAGTGTGAAGCATCCATAATTCAGCTGTAATCAGCGGGCAGTGCCTCCCAGCCCATATAGGCCCCTGGGAGTGCACCCAGGCTTTCAGCTTTGTCCCAGGTGATGTGCTCGGGCCCCAGAGCCTCGGGGCTTCAGGTCACCCTGATGGTGGTCTGACCTGTGTTCTGTTGATCCTTTGTCTATCGGCAGAAGCCGCTTTCATCTCCCAGAAGCCCTCTGTTGTACCAATGTTTGAGCCAGCCATTTGCAGTTTTCTAGAAGGTCCCTGCACACCTTCCACCATGCATTTAATTGTCAAGGCTTTTTCCTGTTCTCCTGCACCTTCATAACTTTCCTGGAAGCCTTCCTGGCCTCAGGATTCACTTTACTGGTTTCTAGGAGGGGACTGGTGTGTGCCTTCTGGCCTTAGATGATACTGATTCCTCCTTTTCTGTAGGCCCCTCTTGTTAGCTCCAAAAAGAACCTTCATAACAAGAATGCCATCTCCTCTGGGTCCCCAACACCTATCCCTCAGAGACTGCGAGACCACCTTTGAGGAGCCTGAGGCTGCACGACTCAGATTCCGAAGTTTCTGCTATGAGGAAGTAGAGGGTCCCCGAGAGGCACTGACCCAGCTTCGGGGATTGTGTCACCAGTGGCTGCAGCCTGAGTCATGTTCCAAAGAGCAGATGATAGAGTTGCTGGTTTTGGAGCAGTTCCTGGGTGTGTTGCCCCCTGAGATCCAGGCCTGGGTGCGAGGGCAGCGACCAGGAAGCCCTGAGGAGGCTGCAGCCCTTGTTGAGGGGCTGCAGCATGATCCTGGGCAACTGCTGGGCTGGGTGAGTGTAATGACATTAGCTTTCTCGAGGGATAGATTGAAGGGTAGAGCCCCTGTGACATGCTTCTCTTCAGATCACAGCCCACATCCTGAAGCCAAAGCTGCTTCTTACAGTCCAGAAGAGGAAGGAATCCTCAGGGAGCCACCACATCTCCGTTGCAACGGAATCCTCTGAGGCAGGCCCTGCAGAGGCACCACAAGATGCCAGGATAGACAAAGCTACCCAAATCAATTGTGGTGTGAAGGAGGAAACCAGTGCTGATGGACAGGAGATGGGTGAGGGATACAATATCAGAACCTCAAATCTGGGTGTATGTGTTGGGGGTGAGGGGGTGTCCTTGGAGAGGTTGTGTCAGGGTTGTGACTCCTGAAATGAGTCTGGATGTCCCCAGCTGGGATAGGGACTCTAGAGAGACTATAAAACTGGATTCCTGAGAAGCAACGAGACAAGGCTGACCTCCCACCATGTCACATGGCAGAAACAGGCCAAGGCCAGTGTGGTAAGGACAGCTTGATACTCTTTCCCATCTGCCTCTTTTTCTCAGTATCTGCAAGCCCTCTCTTTCCAGCCCAGGCCCTTAAGGGACATCTTGAACACCAAGAACCAGCCTCCACATCCTTCCAACCTGGAAGGATCCAGGTAAACAGCCTCCAGCAGGAAATGTAGGCCATGGGTGTAGGAGGGAGGGGGTTGTCTCTGGTGGCTATGCTCTGCCCTGTGGTTTTGTAGGATTCTCTGCCATGTGTTTTTTGCTACTTCTGAGTAGTAAATACCTTCCCTCCCAGCAGGTCCTGAATAGACTGGTAGTCTCTCACTGAAAAAGATTTAGGTATCAGGCCTAGTCCAGAATGGCTAGAACAGGTGGGCATGGCTTCCTTACCTCCAGAGAAGTCAGTTACTGGAAAGGTTTGCAACACCCATAGGTCATGAACCAGCTGTTATGTGTGCAGGTGGGAAAGGGACTGCCACTGCAGAATTCCTGCATTCCTGAGATGAGATCAAGACACTCTTCCCAAACAAGCCTCAAGTCTTGTACTGCACTTCTCAAAGTACAGTGACAAGGAACCTTAGCTGAAAACCCCTGCTACCTGAGTGTATATAGTTAATGTGGAGGGGTTACAAATGTCTTCTCCAGATTCTTTCTGCTACTGAACCCCTTCCTTCCTCAATATGTCTAGTTTTTGTTGTTGATTTTGTTTTGTGAGACAGGTTTTCTCTGTGTAGCCTTGGCTGGCCTGGAACTTACTCTGTAGGCCAGGCTGGCCTGGAACTCACAGAGATTAACCTGCCTCTGCCTCCCTGAGTGCTGGGATTAAAGGCATATGCCACCACTAGAATGTCTAGTTAAGGTGTGTTTCAAGGTTAACCCCCTGGGGGGCGGGGAACAGGTGTGGTCAGGCAGACCGATCTCTGTGAGTTCAAGGTGAGCCTGGGCTACAAAGTGAGTTCCAGGACAGCCGAGGCGACACAGAAAAATCCTGTCTAAAGGATTTTGTCTAAAAAAGATCTTGTCTAAGAAAAAGAAAAGAAACCCTTTTGGTGCCCCTCTCTGTGTCCTCACTTGTAGCCACCACCTCTGGATGTAGCAACCTGTAGCTGCCACCTTCATTTCTCCACATTTGCTTTGGCAAATAGCTTTCAGGGTTATTTTTCTCAAAGTACCAAAGACCTATATGGTAGACGTAGGGCAGGAAAGAAGGTAGAACTTTTAGGCAAGGAATTCTTTGGTAAGGCCATAATAGCTAACCCCCTGTCCTGCCACCAAACTCCCCCTCTTTAGACCGTGCCTGAACCAGCTGGCAAGCACCCAAGCTTCCTCTATCACCTTTGCTGCCTCACTTCATCGCAGTCCTGAGATTCCTCATTATTGTTTTTAATTTTAGTCTTCCCACCCCACCTGATGTTGTTTTTGTTAAGACATTATCTCTCTACATAACCATACATGTCCTAGGACTCACTATGTAGGCCACGTTGGCCTTGTTCTCACAGAGATGTGTCTGCCTTTGGCCCTGAGTACTGGGATTAGTGTGCCCCAACATGCCTGGGTCCTTAGTCCTCTTTTTAAAAACTAAAGTTAAATAAAGGTTTTGCAAACGTAGATCACTTGGTAGAGTGCCTAGTATGTACAAGGTCCTAGGTTCTATTCCCAGCACTGCATAAATTGGTATGGTAGCCTGTACTTGTGGTCCCAAAACTCAGGAGGTGGAGACAGGAAAATCAGAATTTTAAAGTCACCCTCAGTACATAGTAAATTTGAGGCCAGCCTGGGCTACATAGACCTAATCCCTCTCACAAACACCCCAATAAAGGCCAAAAGAAAATTTTCTCACCACAAAGAAGGCAGAACTTTCAGTTTTGTTAATCAGTCTTGACAGAAGGTCAAGGTAGTCTCCTAGCCTCTTACTGACCTTCCAGTACATCCTGTACACAGTTTAGTGACTAGAAGGATGGGGACAGCCATGGGGCTCCTTGTCCAAGACCCACCCACAATTTCAGTCCTTCTGGCCATACTAAGACAGATGATGGTAGGTTGGACAGATGAAAGCAGCCCCTATATTCAGAAATGCCAGTTCTGGTTTGGCCCTTAAGCCTGGTGCAGATGGGGATTTAGTAACCTGCCTCCCATTGCGTGATGGGTAGGGATCTGAGGCTGGGTGGGAGAGGCAGTGACTGTTTGCATCCTTGCAGGAGTGGGGCCTGTTGGACTCGTTACAAAAAGAGCTGTACTGTGGCGTGATGCTGGAGAAGTATGGCATAGTGGCATCTCAGGGTGAGAATTGATGGCCCTCCCTGTCCTAACTTCCTTGCCCCATCCTCCACATGCCTCCCCCGCATGTGCTAGCTCCCTACTGGGGCTCCCAGGGCAGTGGCCGAGCATCTGGGCTGCATCTCTCTTCTAGAAGGTGCCCACCCCATACTTTTGTGGGAGCCCCCATGTGTCCAAGTCCCCAAATGAATGTTCTTCTCACCCCAGAAAGCCTGCCACTGCTAGAGCCAGAGATGCATGTTGAATCTGAGCTGAGGCCAAAACAGGAGATGCCACATGCAGGACCGGAGTCCCTCAGGAGCCATCTCCCGGAAGTGGGAGCCATTGCAGTTGAAGCCTGCCCATCCTCTCAAAGTGAGAGCCTGAGCCCTTGCATGGACCCTCCAGGCTTGTCTCCTGCACCACTACATGAAGCCTCCGTTAAGGCCACACCTCGGAAACTGTACACTTGTGAGCAGTGTGGCCTCAGCTTTGATTGGAAGTCAGTTTTTGTCATCCACCACCGCACTCACATGGGTGGGTCAGGCATAGAAAGACCACCACAAATGGCCTGGGAGCCAGCAATACGGCGACCCCCTGGCCTTCCGGGCTATACGTGCATGGAGTGTGGGCACAGCTTCAGCTGGAAGTCACAGCTAGTCATCCACCGCAAGAGTCATACAGGCCAGCAGCGCCACTTCTGCCTGGACTGTGGGTGCAGCTTTGATTGGAAGTTTCAGCTGCTCATTCATAAGAAGATCCACCAGCCAAAGGGTCCATGAACAGCCAGAGAGAGCTGTCTCACCTGAAGTGCCTCTAGCATCTAAAGCAGCACTTGAGGCATCCTCTTCAACCAAGAGAAGGTTCTGAGGGACCCCAAGAAGATTCCCTGTCCAATGCCAGGCTATCCAGTGTAAGGAAAAGAGACTGTTCCCTGCCTTCTCCCTCTGCTTTGTGGAGCCAGGCCTGGGCTGGATCTTATTTAGCTATGGCTGAGGTCCAGCTTGTGAAAGGGGAGGACACACACTGTTTCGGGATGCTCAGAAATTGTCTTAGGCCCCTCCTTACAGTGGCTGGGCAAGGAGTCTCTGAAAGGTACTGAAAACCAACAACTGCCTTTCCATCCTGCTGTATGTGACCCTCAGAATAATGTGCTAGATTTCTAACATAAGTCTATAACACAGATTTCTGAGAAGAATCCTGACTTCTGGCTCCCACCAATTTTAAAAAAGAGAGAGAGATGGAGAGATCGCTCAGAGGTTAAGAGTGCAAAGATCCTGAGTTCAATTTGCAGCAACCACATGGTGGCTCACAACCATCTGTAATGAGATCTGGTGCTGGTGCCCTCTTCTGACATGTAGGTATACATGCAGGCAGAATACTAATAAGTAATAAATTTAAAAAAAAAAAAAAAAAAAAAAAAAAAAGGCCTTGTGCGCTGACTGGTGGCCACAGGAACCACAGGGCAGCTAAGCCTGGAAAGTCCAATTAGTCAGTTCTTTCTGCCAGTCTGCCTAGTTCCTTGGCCACACACATTGTTCACCACCTCCCTGGCTTTTGAATTCTTGCATCTGGACTTGGATGAAAAATAAGTGACATTCCTTTGGAAGTATGAGTGGCTTCTGAGAAGTTAGGAAACATGGGTCCCTAAGGGTCAGGGCTATCACACATGGCCAGTTCATTAAACTGTAGGGCAAAGAGCCACTCCCTGTTCCCCAGGGGACTGTGACCCTCTGGACAGTTAGGTTTTATCAGTGCATGGTGTCCTATTAACTGTGCCTGTAAACTAGGTGGATCAAAACAGATTTACGTACTAATTTTCTCAACATCAAAGTTCTGGAGCATATCGCACTCGATCAAAGTTGTTAGTAGGGTGGCAGGCTCCCCCTGTGAGCTGTAGAAACTACCTGAAACCCTTGGTCTATGGCCCTTTTCCCCCTCTTTGGCAGTGGGCAGTTGTTTACCTTGTTGAATCATTGACACTCTGATTTCTACTTGCAGAGCCTTTGCAGTGGTGTGGGGCCCCTTAGATATTCCTCTTAAAGTCAGATGATAGGCAGTAGATTTTATTTTGTTTGAGACAGGCACTCCTGATGTAGTGTACACTGGCCTCTAACTAGGGATTCTCCTGTCTCCATTTCCTATGGGTTGGAACTATAGGCTTGTACAACCAAGCTCAGGTTCTTGTTTTTTGTTTTTTCAAGACAGGGTTTCTCTGTGTAGCCTTGGCTATTCTGAACTCACTTTGTAGACCAGGCTGCCCTCGAACTCACAGCTATCCACCTGCCTCTGCCTCCTAAGTGCTGGGATTATAGGCTTGCACCAGCGCGCCCATCCACCCAGGTTGTTATTTTTAAATTCTCTGTGTGTGTTTGAGATGGTCTCAGTTTAATACCCAGGCTGACCTCAAACTCTTCTATAGTCCTCTAGCCTCAGCCTCCTGAGTAGTGGGATTAAAGGTGTGTACCATTAAGGCCAGACTAAGACTTTAAATAATTTTTAATTTTAAAATTTAGAAATATGGAGCAGGATTCAATGTTGTAGGCAGATCTCTGTTAGTTTGAGGTCAGAGTGGTTTACATAGTGTATTTCAGAACAGCCAGTAGTTATGTAGTAAGATCCTGTCTCAAAAATAAGAAATAAGTAAATAAATTCTAGAGATGGGCATATCAAAGTGTCTTCTAGAAACTTAAAATTTCAACACTATCCATTCTTGCTCACTACTCTAGTTCATTCTTTGTTGTTTTTTTAGAGGTGTGTGTGTGTGTGTGTGTGTTATTGTGTGTATGTATACCTGGAAGCCAGAAGAGGGTATCAGGGTCTTCTACCTATTCATCTCTGCTTGTTAATATTCATGCTGGAACCCAAGCTGCAGTTCTGGACTTGAACTCTGGTCTTTAAAGGTGCTTTTGACTGCTGAGCCGTATCTCTGCTTTACTGGACAGAACATTATGGAAGTGTTTGTTCATTCAGTCTGAGTCCCTCCAACTGTTCATATGTGGCTCTTCTTTCCTGTCCAGAAGGGTATATGCCGTCCCTGTTCTACCTGCACCTGGTCACGAATTAGGTTTGCATTTTCATGCACTCTTTAGATCATATGCCTATTCATTATATTTGTCCTAGACAACTGAAGAACAGTATCAGTTCATAGAGCAGGTTCCAGAAACTGCTGTTCACATTGTTGTTTCTTTTGTTTTGTTTGAGGGGAGCTGAAAGGATCTCTCCATATAGCCCAAGCCTGCCCTCAGGTCTGTTTATTTAGTGTGTGTGCATCTGTGTGAGTTTGTGTGTACCATATGAATGCATAGTGTCCACAAAGGTCATAAAAGAAAAAATCTCCTGAAACTGGAGCTACAGGTGATTGTGAGCCACCACATGGGTACTAGAAACCAAACCAAGATGCTATTCAGGATCAGCAAGTGTTTTTAACCACTGAGTCATATCTCCAGCCCCCTGCCTTAAGTTCTTGATCCTTGGTGGCGTCTTTTTGTTTTATTTTTCAAGGCAGGGTTTTTCTGTGTAACAGCCGTGGCTGTCCTGAAACTCTGTATACCATACTGGCCTCAAACTCACAGATGTCCACCTCTTTCTGCCTCTCATGTGCTAGGATTAAGGGCATGCACCAGAAGGCTGTCTTAATTGTCACACAGTTTGTGTTTTTCATAGTTGGTCATGGTGCATCCCTGTAATCCCAGCAGGTGGGAAGGAAAAGGCAGAAGGATCAGGAGTTCAAGGTCTTTCACAGCTACATAGAGGTTCCAGCCTGCATTAATGAGACCCTGTCTGATAAACAAAACAACCTAAAAATAAACAAAATTGGTATCATCTTTTGGTGGTTTTTCTAATCATAATAAATTTGGAACAAAAGACAGAATGCAAACTGTTTGACAACGGTGCGACACGCATAGGAGTGTGGTATATGTGTGTCTGAATGTGTGGATATACATGTGTCCAGGTGTTGTGTACAGGCCTGAAGTTGATGTTAGGCATCTTCCTCATTCTTCCAGTTTATTCTTTGAGTAGGGTCTCTCAATCAAACCCAGAGCTTGCTGGTATGACGAGTCTCACCACCCATCTTGCCCTGGAGATTGTCTCTGAACCCTGAGGCTGGAGTGACAGAGGAGCCACCACATGCTCCAACATTTATGTGAGTTCTGGGGATCCAAACTCTTGTCCTTTTGCTTGTAACACAAGCACTTTAAAAGAGCCATTTCCTCAACAGTTGATATAACAGTCATTCTATTAGAAAAAATTTCCAGAGGCTGGAACAGTGTCTCAGCAGTTAAGAGTACTGTCTGCTTTTCCAAAAGACCTGGGTTCAATTCTTAGCAATTCCATGGCAGCTCACAACTGTAACTCCAGTTTCAGAGCATCTGGTATCCTCTACTGGCCTTCATGGGCACTGCACACACATGTACTGATGTACATGCTACAGAAGATCCATACATGTGAAATAAAATATTATGAAAAAAGAAAAGAGAGGGCCCATGAGATGGCTCAGCAGTTAAGAACACTGGCTGCTCTTCCAGAGGTTCTGAGTTCAATTCCCAGCAACTATACAGTGGCTCACTAACATCCATTAAAAAAAATACATAAGTAAATAATTTTTTTTTTTTTAGTAAATAAATTTTTAAAAAGAGAAACTCTCTCTACCATGTGAGACATGTAAGAAGATACCCATCTGTGGGATGAGAAGAAAGCCCATAGAACCTGACCATGCCCATATTCTAATTTAGAATTTAGAGCCTCCTTTGCTAGGAAAAGAAGATAGTGTGCTGGAGTTGCAGCACATTTGAAGAGAGTACTGGCTATTTAGTTTTATGTCAACTTGACATAAGCTATAGGCATTTAAGAGACGAGATCCTCAATTAAGAACTATCCTTGAAGGAAGGAAAGAAAAGAAAAAAAGAGAAAGAAATATCCTCCAGCCAGGCAATGTGGTGCACACCTGTAATTCCAGCACTTGGCGAGGCAGAGGCAGGTGGGTATCTGTGAGTTCAAGGCCAGCCTGTCTACAAAAGTGAGTCCAGGACAACCAAGGCTACACACAAAGAAGCCCTGTCTCTAAAAACATAAAAATAAAAACATAAAGAAAAGAAAGCACTCTGAGGGCTACAGAGATGGCTCAGAGGTTAAGAGCACTGGCTATTCTTCCAAAGGTCCTGAGTTCAATTCTCAGCAATCACCCAGTGGCTCATAATCATCTATAATGAAATTTGGTGCCCTCTTCTGGCATGCAGGCAAAATACTGTTACATAATAAATAAATCTTTAAAAGAAAAAAAAAGCATTCTGAGCAATCCATGAGGAGAAAGCAAGTAAGCCTCCTCCCCATCACACACACACTCCCTGTGCCCTCAGCATCTGCTTAATGGATTGTGTTTTGAGTTTTGTAATCCAAATAAATCCGTTGCTGCCCAAACTGCGTTTGATCATTGTGGTGGTTTGAATGAAAATGGCCCCCCATAGGCTCTTAGGAAGTGTGGCCTTGTTGGAGTAGTTGTGGTCTTGTAGGAAATGGGTCAGTTAGGGCGGGCTTTGTGGTTCAGAAGGTCAAACCAGGCCCAGTGTTATTATCTCTTCCTGCTGCCTGCTGATCCTACCTAGAACTCTTCAGCAACATGTCTGCCAGTGCACTGCCATGACAGTGATGCTCTAAAACCTCCAAACTGTAAGCCAGCCCCAATGAAATGTTTCCTTTATATGAGTTGCTGTAGTCATTGTGTCTCTGCTGAGCTTTTGCTTTCATGTTCTGTGTACACTACCTCACCTACCCAGATGTAGATTCTCTCTACCAGAAATGTAAAAAAATACAGATCAGGTTTTTGTTTGTTTGTTTGTTTGTTTTTAATGAAACTGGGGATAAAAATCTCATGTTAATACATAAGAGACCAATTCTAATTTAGGCACCGTGGCCCATATCTGCAATCCCAATACTAACAGGCTGTGGTAAAAGGATTAAAGTCCAAAGTTATCTTGCTTAAGTAGTCAGACTGTCCAAAATATACAGAAATCACTTGGGGCAAATATTTGCCACAAATAATACATGAAAAAAACATGTTTTTTTTTTTTTTGTTTTTTTTTTGAGATAGGATCTCTTTGTGTAGCCCTAGCTGTCCTGAAACTCAGCTCATAGAGATCTGCTTGCCTCTGCATCCCAAGTGCTGAGATTAAAGGCATGCACCACCACCACCAGGTTAAAAAAAAAATCTATTTAAAAAAACAAAAACAAAAATGGGGCTGGAGAGATGGCTCAGTGGTTAAGAGCACTGTCTGCTCTTCCAGAGGTCCTGAGTTCAATTCCCAGCATGCTCACACATACATGCAGATAAAGCACTTACTAAAAAAAAAAAAAAAAAAAAAAAAAGCCAAGTGTGTTAGTGCACACCTTTAATCCATTCAGGAGGCAGAGGTAGATAGAGCTCTATGAGTTTGAAGGCAGCCTGGTCTACAAAGTTTAGGACAGCCAAAACTACACAAGGAAACCCTATCTCGAGAAACTGGAAAAACCAACAAACAAACTCATTGAACAGGATGGTGAATGCCTTTAACCTTAGCTCAGACAGAGGCAGGTGGACAGCTGGGATTTGAAGAGGCCTGCATGATTGACACAGCCAATTTCAGGTCAACTAGAGCTACACAGTAAGACCCTGTCTCAAACAAACAAACAAACAAACAAACAAACAAAACTCATGTGAGCTGACCATGGTAGTGCATGCCTATAATCCCAGCACTTGGGAGGCAGAGACAGGCAAATCTCTCTGAGTTCAAGGCCAGTTTGGTCTACAAAGCAAGTCCAGGATAGCCAGGGTTACACAGAGAAGGCTTGTCTTAAAAAACAACAATAACAAAAAAAAAAAAAAAAAAAAAAACAAGAAGGAGAAAGTGGAAGAGGAGGAGGAGAGGAAGAAGATTGTAAGAGCTAGAAGTTGGTGTGGAGTGCTGTGTAAAAAAGCCTTCAAGAAACAACAGGACCTAGGGGGCTGGAGAGATAGTTCAGAGGTTAAGAGCACTGGCTGCTCTTCCAAAGGTCCTGAGTTCAATTCCCAGCAACCACATGGTGGTGGCTCACAACCATCTACAATGAGATCTGGTGGCTTCTTCTGGTATGCAGGCCCACATGGAGGCAGAACACTGTATACATAATAAATAATTAAATATTTTAAAAAAGAAGAAAAGAAAGAAACAACAGGACCATTGCACTCATAAATTCACAGCAACTGTGGTTTCTACCAAAGGCTAGCTGGACTGGGTTGTTCACCAGCAAGGTAGTTACACTTCTTTTGGGGGTGGGGGGAATAGGGGAGAGTTGGCCTGGAGCTCACCCACTAACAACTGGCCCAGGAGGCTGTACCATAACTCCAGCAGGAGTTTCCTTGTCCACCATTCAACACTGAGTCCCTCAAAACAGAGAACACCTCCCAGAGACACCTGCACTCTGTAGCATGTGGCTTTTGGAGTCACTCTCTGGGACATTTCTGGTCCCAATACTTCTGAGGCCTCAGAGGCCCACCCAGTCCTGTCTAGATTGCCACAATTCATAAAGTACTCCCACCTTCTAACAGTACATATCTTATTTTCCAGAGGCCGTGGTGATAAGGACAGGAAATAGAAATGGGTCAGGCAGTTCAGGGCAGAAATTAAATTAAATTAATTTATTTAAATTAAATTTCTTAGCTAGAAATGTCATGGGTCCAGACTTGGCTTGAGTTCAAAGATGCTAGAAGAACATTTTGCATCCTGGTCTGTGTTTTTCTTATCTTTTCCCCCTAAACCAGCATTCCTACCCAGAGGCAGTATGTGAGTATGAGACCTGATTCCAGCCCAGATACTATTCCTTTCCTACGAATACCTTTAAAATTGGATCTCTAGGTTTTCACAGTTTCAATTCCTAGATTTTAGACCATCTCCTAAATGATTTTAGGTTCTCAACTCATGTCAGGGGAAAGTAACAGTAGCATTAGATGCCACTGAATCTTTGAACCCCACATGCCATTTCCCTCATGTGCTTGCTGGCTAGTTTTATGTCAACTTGACACAAGCTATAGTCATCAGAGAGGAGGGAGCCTCAATTGAGAAGACACCTCCATAAGATTCAGTTGTAGAAAAGCCTGAAGAAGCTGGGCAGTGGTGGCACACATCTTTAATCCCAGCACTCAGGGAGACAAAGGCAAGTGGATCTCTGTATGTAGGCCAGCTTGGTCTACAGAGTGAGTTCCAGGACAGCCAAGGCTATACAGAGAAACCCTGTCTCAAAAAAACAAACAAAAAGCAAACAAACAAACAAAGCCTGTTTGGCTGGAGGTTCAGAGGTTAAGAGCACTGGCTGTTCTTCCAAAGATCCTGAGTTCAATTCCTAGCAACCACTTGGTGGCTCATAACCATCTATAATGAGATATGGTACCCTCTTCTAGTGTGTAGGCATACATGCAGACAGAATACTACATAAATAATAAATAAATCTTTAAAAGAGAAAAGCCTGTAGAGCATTTTTAAATTAGTGATTAATATGGGAGGGCCCAGCCCATTGTGGGTAGGGCCATCTCTGGGATGGTACTCCTGAGTTCTATAAGAAAGCACGCTAAGCAAGCACTCCAGTGGACTCTGCACCAGCTTCTGCCTCTAGGCTCCTGCCCTGTTTGAGTTTCTGTTCTGACTTCCTTCCATGCTAGACTATAAATATAAGCAAATAAACCGTTTCTTCTACATTTTGTTTTGGGGCATGGTGTTTCACCATACCAATATTAACCCTAAGACACCTGGTAACACTAGAAGGGCAAGCATCACCTCTTGGGCTTTAAAATAACATATGAGGAGCTTGAGGGATGACTCAGTGGTTAAGAGCACATGTTCCTCTTGTAGAGGGCCTGAGTTCAGTTCCCAGGGCTTATATAAGCTGCCTCACAACTGCCTGAACTCCAGCTCCAAGATCTGATGCTTCTGTGGGTACTTGCATTCAAATGCACATAACCACACACATGCATACATATAATAAAAAACAATAGGGAGCTGGGCATAGTGGCAGAAGCCTTTAATCCCAGTACTCATACTCAGCAGGCAGAAGTAAGCAGATCTCTGAGTTCGAGGCCAGCCCAGTCTACACAGTGACTTTCCTACCAGGCAGGGCTACACACAGAGACCCTGTCTCATCCTCCTGACACCCAAATGCAAGGTTTTAATCTTCCAGGGACCCTAACAACAGTTAACAGGGTGTCCATCATCTATATTGGGTATCCCACCCTGACCCAAGCCTGTCCTTCAGGGGCCACAAAAGACCCAGAGTTGTAGTCAGCACTCTCTTTGCTTCGCTGGAGTAGCTTCAAAGCTGGTCCTCCCATTCCCTTCACCTGGGGCTGCGGGGACAGCTCCAGGTGTATAAACCTATATAGCAGGCTGCACTGACCAGCTGCATTCATCTATTATTCAAATCCACACCAGACTTCTGCATATACATTCAAGTTTATTCTCTGTGGACGTCTGGAATTCTGATAGCTTTGTGAAGTTGACACTGGGAATCCTGGCCACTGTTGATTTCCACACTTTTGGACAACTTTTCAGTTGGCTAGGCAGTCAGAACTTCCAGGTTCCTTCACAAATGGCCTGGTACATGTCAGGCATTAGACTCCGGAAGGTCTGGATCTTGTTGTCCAGTATGTATAGGGGGTCAGCAATGACCCCTACATCAAAACCCTCACGCACCAGTTGTGACTTTATCAGCTTGAAGGTGCTTGTGATCTCCAGAGAGTCCTGCAAAGTAGTAATTATGAGCCCTGACTGTGACACCAGTTCCCATATCCATCAACTCCTGCTACCGCTTGCTCACCTGGATACGGATGAAATGAGGTGTGGCATAGGCAGGAAGCGAGGAACAGACATGCTGGTATAGCTTCTGCCCATCAAAAGTCTTCCCAGGAGCCAGCTTCACAGCAGCCATACCAACCTTACCTTCACACCCTGGAAAGCACACTGTTCATTCTCAGCTGGCCCAGCTCTGCTCACTGTGCAACTGGGCATAACTCATAACCTATATATTTCCCAAATAATGCCCCTAATTTGTAATGACAACCTCCACCCAAAAAAGTGCAAGATTTATTTAAAATCAGGAGAACTCTTCATACCTGGCACAGGCACCCCATAGACATTGACTTCCTCTAGGAAGTCTAGGCTCGACAACACTTCCTCCACCTCTCCAGTAGATACATTTTCGCCCTTCCACCTGCAAGGAGGGAGGCCACGACCCAGGATAGGAATGCTCTGCCCCCTGCAAGGAACACTACACTCCCCAAGAGAGACTCCAGCCCCAGGAAGGGATGTCCCATCCCTGGGAATAGAAGCCACATCCAAGGAAGGGCATGTCCCACCCCTGAGAAGAGGGGGTCTCATCCACCCCTAGGGAGGCAGGACACCCTGGAAGCCAGCCCCCAGCCCACCCATGCCTGACCGGAAAGTGTCTCCAAGGCGGTCCTGGAAGTAGAAGAAGCCTTCCTGGTCCAGGACAAGCACATCCCCGGTATTGTAGTAGAGGTCCCCTTTGCGCCTTACATTTGTGGCCAGTTTCTTCTTGGACTCTTCCTGGGAACGGTAGCCTAGAAAGGGGCTGTGCTTTCGAATCTGGGTCAAAAGAAGTCCTGCCTCCCCTGGAGATGTAAATGGAAAATAAGTCCTAAATGAGGACCCTGACCATCTCTGAGGCAGCCCAAGGTAGAGGTTCCTTACTGTGGACTCTTCACCCAGCCAAACATAGAGCTAAAATGTACTGATAAGGCTACAGAGATAGATAACCAGGGGTTAAGAACACTAGTTGCTGTTCCAGAAGATCTAAGGTTCGATTTCCACCATCCACATGGTGGCTTACAATCACCTGTAACTGTAGTTCCAGGGGAATTGAAACCCTCTTCTACCTTCCTCAGGCACCAAGCACATACCAGGTGTACATACATAACTGCAGGCAAATGCTCAGATACATAAAATAAAAATTATAAAAATATGTTGATGGGAGACACTCAGATTTAAGGCCAGAGAAACCGAGACACCAAGAGGAAGACAGAGAAACTTGGAAAATCGGATAGTTCTGGAAAAGAGAGAGAGACAGAGAGAGAAGATTGTATCAGGGTGTCCATGAGAAAACAGGGCAAGGATGAGGAACTGACAAATGGGGGTTGGAAGAAAGACATACCTAATCCCTTGCAAAACCCCAGGAGAGAAGGTACAGGGAAAAGGACTGGTATCTAGGAGGCTGTGATCCCTACGGAAAGCTGACGACCAATGGAGCTGGGCAGTGGTGGCACACGCTTTTAATCCCAGCACGTGGGAGGCAAAGGCAGTCATATCTCTGTGAGGGTGTTTTGTTTGTTTGTTTGGCTGGTTGGTTGGTTGGTTGGTTGGTTTTTCAAGTCAGGGTTTCTCTGTATAGTCCTGGCTGTCCTGGAACTCGCTCTGTAGACCAGGCTGGCCTTGGACTCACAGAGATCCTCCAGCCTCTGCCTCACAAAGTGTTGGGATTACAGGCATTTGTCCACCTTGCCCAGCTTGGACCTCTGTGCGTTTGAGGCCAGCCTGGTCTACAGAGTGAGTTCTAGGACAGCTAGAAATACACAGAGAAATCCTGTTTCGAAAACCATAAAAAAAAAAGAACAGAGAGAAAAAGAGAGAAACACAAAGAGTGAGAAACTAGACTAAGATTGAAGCAGGGTGCCTGGGCAGAGCCAAGTGATGGCCAGACATGCCAGTGGCTTAAGTTCCAGGTAAGGATTGCAGACACTGATACCTATCACCATTATTAAGACTTAGGACCAGGGACGGTAGCACACTCCTATTACCCTAGCATTTGGGAAGCAGAGGCAGTAGGATTAAGAGTTCAAGACCAGCTTGGGCTACATGAGATGTTTGTCTGTTTGTTTGTTTTTGAGACAGGGTTTCTCTGTATAGCCTTGGCTGTCCTTGAACTTTCTCTGTAAACCAGGCTGGCCTTGAACTCAGAGATCTGCCCACCTCTGCCTCCCAAGTGCTGGGACTAAAGGTATGTGCCGCCACCACCCTGCTACATGAGAAATTATACCCAAAAAAATCTGAAGAAAAAAAATAATAAAAGGACTTTGGGTAGCTTCTTCCAGCCATGGAGGTGAAGGTGACAACCCCTCACATATCCAAAGAGGTCCCCTGGCCTCCTTACCTGGTCCCACAGGGATACAAAACCCCTGTTTGTCCCTCACAGGCTCTGCTGTCTCTGTGTCAAACTGTACAAGTTCATAGGGAATCAGCATCTGCAATGAAGGATGGGAAGCATTGGCAAAGGTACGAGGGGTTCAGTTTCAGGACCACCATCATGCTGGATGTCTTATCCACTCACTCGAAGGAAGCAGCTGGTTTTGCCCACAGCCCCACAGCGCTCCACATAGTTCATTAAGCCCACGTTGCCCTCTGTGGAGCCGTAGAATTCCCAGATTCGAATGGGACCAAAGCGTTGCCGGAAGGTTTTCCACACATCTGCCCGAAGTCCATTGCCCATTGCCAAGCGCACTATATGTTTCTTGTCTTCTGGTTGCTGCAGGAACATCCCACAAAGGGTCAAAAAGTGGTGCCCTGAAGGGTATGGTTGGGAACTTTCTGAAGAGGGTATCTTAGGTGTTAATTGGGAATCAACTAGGTGGTGGGGCCTATACTTAGGGAATCTCCCTAGGATACTTAAGGATAGTTAGACATGCTGCTGGGCATGCCTAAAACTCCAGTGCTCAGGAAGCTAAGGCAGGATTATTAGTTGGGAGATCAAAATGAGTCACATAGCAAATTGCAGGCCAGCTTGACCTATATAGGAAGATCTTCATCTTAGCAAAAAAAAATTATTGAGTCTTTACCTAAAATGTTCCTCCAGACATTATAGGGTTGTTTTTCCTAGAGAAAGTTGCTTGGGGTAGCCTTTATCATGCAGGGTAATGGAGCTAGGAGTAACTGGAGACATCAACCACCTCTGATCTTAATGTCAGGCAAGCATCAGACCATCTAACACTACCTAGGGTAGTTACCAGGAACACTGGCCTAGTATAGTTATTTGTGTGTGGGGGGGGGGGGGTTGAGACAGGGTTTCTCTGTGTAATAAGTGCCCTGGTTGTCTTGGATTTGCTTTGCAGACCAGGCTGAGCTAGAATTCACAGAGATCCTCTGATGGGATTAAAGGCATGCAACATCACGCCCAGCCCTAGGACAGTTTTTACTTGGAGGCATTATCTAAAAACGTTTCTGTTTGGTGTTGGCATTCATCTAAAGTGAAGTAGGCAGTTATCTGAAACCGTATCTCTAAGTGTTAACCTTGGAAGGGGACCTTTCTGAGAAGGCATTTCTTGAGGCTTTTGATTTTAAATTAAAGGGGTGGAAAGACACTGGGGGAGGGGAACATATGGCCTAGAGACAGTTTCCTAGGGACCATAGCTCATAGCTTTATAAAAATAAGAGCATCTCAGCTGGGTGTGGTGGTGCATGCCTGTAATCCCAGAACTCTGGAAGGCAGAGGCAGGCAGATATCTGTGAGTTAGAGGACAGCCTGGTCTACAAAGTGAGTTCAGGACAGCCAAGGCTACACAGAGAAAGCCTGTCTCGAAGGAAAAAATAAGAGAGCATCTCCAATCTGGTGTGTTTATCCTGAGCCACGTTGTTCTAGGTATTTCATATAGTAAATTCATTTCATCTTTACAAAGACTCCTTCAAGAAGGAGCTATTCTTTTTATTCCAGTATCTACCATTAGTAGTTGTATTTGTAAGATGAAATTTAGGGCTGGCTAAGGTCCAGATTGGAACTGTTCGTAATCTATGCTTTCCAAATAAAGCCACTGAAACTGGAAAAGGTAAGCCAGGCAAGGTGGCACTGCCTGTAATCCCAGCACTCAGGGAGGCAGAGGCAGGAGGATCTCCAAGTTGAAGCCAGCCAAGGCTACGCAGAGAAACCCTGCCTCAAAAAACAAACAAACAAACAAACAAACAAACAAACAAACAAAAAAGGAACTGGACAAGGTGACGTCATCTGTTGTGATAATCAGTTTCTCATCTTAACACAATTAAGAGTCACGAAGTGAAGGACTGTGTAGGTTAGACTGGCCTGTGGTATGCCTGTGAGAGATTGATTTTGGAAGACCCATCCTGGATGTGGAAGACATAATTTTATAGGCTGGACTGAAGGAAGGGGAAACAGCAAGGTGAGTATTTGCATGCATGGATTAATTCATTACTTGAGGCTCTCAGCCGTGTATGGGATGTGATGAGTTGCTTTAAATTCTGGATGACCCTAGAAATGATCATCCTGAGTGAGGTATCCCAAAAGCAGAAAGACACACATGGTATATACTCACTTATATAAACCTATAAGATAGGATAAACATACTGAAAACTATACACCTAAAGAAGATAAACAAGAAAGAGGACCCAGGGTATGATGATCAATCCTCACTTAGAAAGATAAATGGGATGGACATTGGATGTAGGAGCAAATAAGTAACAGAACAGGAGCCTACCACAGAGGGCCTCTGAAAGACTCTACCTAGTAGTGTATCAAAGTAGATATTAAGACTCATAACCAAACCTTTGGCAGAGTGCAGGGAATCAAAAAAAAGGGGGGGGGAGTTAATATGACCTGGAGAGGACAGGAGTTCCACAAGGACCAAATATATGTGGGCACAGGGGTCTTTATGAGATTGTTTCTCCAAACAAGGACCATGTATGGTTGTAACCTAGAACCTCTGCTCAGATGTAGCCCTTGGTAGCTCAGTATCCAAGTGGGTTTCCCTAATAAGGGGAACAGGGACTGTTTCTGACATGAACTCAATGGCAGGCTCTTTGACCTCCTCCTCCTCCCCCCTCCCCCTGAGGGAGGAGCAGCCCTGGTAGGCCACACAGGAGGACTTTGTAGCCAGTCCAGAAGATAACTGATAAACCAGTATCAGATGAAAAGGGAGGAGGTTCTCCCCTATCAGTGGACTTGGAAAGGGGCAGGGAGGAGATGAGGGTGGGAGGGTGAGATTGGGAGGGAAAGAGGGAGTGGGATACAGCAGGGATACAAAATTAACAAACTGTAACTAATATTAAAAAAATAAAAATTAAAAAAAAAATTCTGGAAGCCTTGACTTCCCACAATGATGCACTATACCCTAGAACTGTGGGCTAAACAAACCTTTTCTTCTTTAGGTTGCTTTTTTATTTTACAACAAAAGGAAACTAAGACATACCTGCTCGGGTGACTAACCATCAAAACAGCCCATTACAAAATGTGGAAAGTATTTGGAACTTATCCAGTGAGACTTTGTTTTGAAACAGAGTCTCAGTGTAGCCCAGGTTCACTTTCAACTCTGTGCAGCCAAGAGGTGACCTTGCTTGAGATCCATACCTGATTCTTTCTGTCTTTGATGTTGGGTCTCACACATGCTAGGCCTATATTCTACTTCTGAGTCTTATCTTCACTCTTACCTAAATCTTTATCTGATAACTTTATCTGGAAAGTCATCTGGGGCTCCATGAGTTTCACTTTTGAACCTTACCTCAGGAATATTACACAAGTATCGAAGGACCTCACCCACATACTGGATCACGGTCACCCTGTGCTGCCGACAGTCGGCCCAGAATCGGGAGGCAGAAAACTTGGTGGCCAGGACACAGGTGGCTCCTGGTAGAGGGAAAAATCATGTTCCATGTTGCTGTGAGAAGATACATGATTACCTGTTGTGGCATGGCTGTGGCCATGATTGGCTTAGACCCTGCTATGTATATAGATGAGGTCGAGCTTGAACTGCGGTGGTTCTCCAGCTTCTGCCTCCTGAGTGTCCTATTGAGCTTACTGGCATTACTCACCAGTAAAAACCAGTGATATTTTTAATCTAACAGGAAATTCAAGAGGAAAGAGGAGCATACTGTTTTTGTTTTTGATTTTTTGAGACAGGGTTTCTTTGTGTAGCCTTTGCTGTCCTAGACTTATTTTATAGACCAGGCTAGCCTCAAACTCAACAGAGATCCATCTGCCTCTGCCTCACTGAGTGTTGGGATTATAGGCGTGCACCACCATGCCCTCTGAGCATACTGTTTTAACAAGGAACATGTAATTAATTACAGAACTTGGAAAGTCTGACAAGGTGTATCAAATGATATTAAAGGGTCACTATTAATTTTATTAGGTATCAGTTTTCATTACAGAAGCATACTGTAATATTTATAGGCATAAAGATAACAGCATTGGGCTGGAGAGATGACTCAGAGGGTAGGAGCACTGGCTGTTCTTCCAAAGGTCCTGGAGTTCAATTCCCAGTAACCACATGGTGGCTCACAGCCATCAATAATGAGATCTGGTGCCCTCTTCTGATGCTCAGGCACACACAGACAGAATATTGTGTAATACATAAATAAGCAAATAAATAAATATTTAGTTTAAAAAAGGTAACAGCATCTAGCCAAGCATGGTGGTACATGCCTTTAATCCTAACACTCCAGAGTTAGAGGCCAGTAGACTTCTGTGAAGCCAGCTTGATCTGTATATTGAGTTCTGTGTCAGAGAGGGCTAGAGTGAAACCCTGTCTTTCAAGGAAAAATAAAGTGTCTAAAACTGGGCATGTTGAGGGCTGGAGAAAATGGCTCATAGATTAAGAGCACTGTCTCATCCAGAGGTTTGAGTTCAATTCCCACATGGTAGGAGCAACCACATGGTAGCTCACAACCAAGCTACCAAGGGATTTGCTGCTCTCTTCTGGCATGCAGGTGTACATGCAGATAGAGTACTCAAATACATTAAATAAATAAATAAGCAAACCAGGCACGCCTGTAATCAGAGCACTCAGGGTGGGAGAAGCAGGCAGATCACTGAGTTTGAAGTCAGCCTGGTCTACAGATGGAATCCAGGACAGCCAGGGCTACACAGAGAAACCCTGTCTCAAAAAGCCAAACAAACCAACCAACAAACAAAAGAAAACCAAACCTGGCCATGGTGGTTCACATCTATAATTCAGCACTTGGGAAGTATAGTCAGGAGGGTCAGAAGTTTAAGGCCACCTTCAGCTATATACTGAGTTTGAAACCCATTTGGATTATGTGGCCCCAAATTTGGGATGAAGAATAGAAAGTTATAGTACACAGCATGGAATCTTGTCCTTTTGATTGCCCCACGCTAACACCCACTGTGGTCCTTTGGGTTAGAGAAGTCCTTGGTGGACTTACCAAGTTCTAAGCAGCCAAGGACTCCAAGGACAAGTCCCATCGTGTGGTACAAAGGTAGGACATTATAGACCACATCATCAGCTGAGATCCCACAGAAGGACAGCACCCTGCTCGTCTGCACAACCCGTTCATGTGATAGGATGGCTGGCTTTGGAAGCCCTAGAGGGTGAAAGAGCAATAAGGGTTGGGTAGGAAGAGAGACCACAACTTCAGGGTGGGTATCCACAGTCAGATCTGACTAGGTTTGAACCTCTCAAAGGGGAGAAAGGATGGAGAGTTTCTGGATAAGGTTATCCAAACCTATAATCCCAGCACTCAAGAGGGTAAGGCAACTATATAATAGGCAGTTCAAAGACAGTTGGGGCTACTAGAGTCTCAAAATACCAACAAATAAATAACACTAGGAATGAAAACTCATGGTTGTCTTTTTTTTTTCCCTGCATACTTTGTTTTTTGAGTCAAGATATCTCTCTCTCTCTCTCTCTCTCTCTCTCTCTCTCTCTCTCTGCAGCTCAAGCTAGCCTGGACTCACTAGGTAATTCAGACTGGTCTTCAATGCTTCCTTCGTTCTTTCCTTTCTGTAACAAGGCCCCAGACCTCAGTAGGTCCCCAAAACCTTAGTACAGCTGTCTCCATGATGGAAATACCGTCCAGGCTGTAAAACTCAGCATGTAGACAACACCACCTGCCAAAACCAAAACTGGGAAAGTCATAAAATGTACTAGCTTTGCTTTTTAACTTCTGTAGTTCTGCTTCTGGCTAACTGTTCTTGTTAACTGAAGTATGTTAACCCACAACGGTTTTTGTGCTTAAAAGCTCATCCTGAGAAAGGCTCAGTGCTACACTGGGATCCCAAACACATAGTGTAGTTGTTGGCAGCTAATAAAGACTTTCCGTTGGCTTAAACCCATATTGGAGCAGTCTTCTCTAGTGACTACCCCACAATACTTTCTTCCCTCTTTCTGTCTTTCCTTTCTTTCCAACAAAAAGAACCATCATTCCTTTTTTTTCCCACCATATGATTAAAATCATATTTTGCTTATTTGTTGATGGGCATTTCAGCTTCCACTTTTTTGGCTATTGAAACTAATGCTAGCCAGGTGTGGTGGCATATTCCTGTGATCCCACCACTCAGGGAGGCAGAGGCAGGTTTTGTTTTATTTTGTTTTGAGACAGTTTCTCTGTGTAGCTCTGGCTATTCTCAAACTTGCTCTGTAGACTAGATGGACTTCAAACCCAGACAGCTGTAGGCCTCTGCCTCTACAACACCCAGCTTGAACCCTTATTCCTTTTTAAAAACATGAAATGGAATGCTTTGTGAATTTGCCTGTCATCCAAACATGAGAATATGCTAAATTGTGGATTGTTCCAACTTTAGTATGTGCTTCACTGAAATGAACAGACCTTGAACTCTATATACTCCTGCCTCTTAACCTTCTGAGTGCTGGAATTTACTTGTGAACAGCACCACTCTCCCATTGGTTTTCAGAACTGGGAGTAATACAGATCTGGCGTGGTGGCACACACCTGTAATTCCAACTCCAGGAGGCAGAGGCAGGAGGATCTCTGTGGGTTCAAGACCATACTGAGTCCAGGACAACCAAGGCTACAAGAGAAACCCTGTCTTGGAAAAAAAAAAAAAAAACTACACTAGGGGACTAGGGGTTAGAGTCAAAGTCAGAAGTCCAGATCAATGGCAGAGTTGTTGGGTGTGAGAAGACAAACAGAAGGCATGGTGCAAGATGATCAGAGTGCGGAGGGTGGGGCAGAACCACAGGCATCCTCACCAGTGGTTCCTGAAGTATAGATGAACAAGGCCGGGCTTTTCCACTGAATCTTAGCTCGAAGGCTGGCAGGCACGGGGTCAGAAGGTGCAACATCCAGGGCAGCCCCCAGAGCCTCCACGCCTGGAGTAGGTGAGGTGTGGCCAAGGTAAAAGCAGCGGATGTTCTCTGCTAGCAGCTTGGGAAGGACTTCTTCCAGGCTCTCCTGGAGGTCTACAGGACCAACCATCAGAGAATTAAAAAGGCAAATCTTACCTTTCTTCAAAGTCAAGAGGGAGGATAGGAGACCCAGAAACAGAAAAGCAGGCGGTGAAAGAAAAGCTTCCCTGTCCTTAAAGAACTTTATAATGCTAGGGCAGCACTTTAAGTAGTGGGCACATGCCTTTGATCCCAGCACTCTGAAGGTAGAGGCAGTCAGATCTCTGTGAGCTCAAGGCCAGCCTGGTCTACAGTGTGAGTTCCAGGACAAAGAAACCCCGCCTCGAAAAACCAAAATAAAAAGAAATCTTATAATTAGTAAAATATAAATTTAGTCAAATAAAGCTGGTCATAGTGGCCCATGCCTTTGGCCCTAGCCCTTGGGAGGCAGAGGCAGCTGGATCTCAATGAGTTCAAGTCCATCCTGATCTACATAATGAGTATCAAGACAGCCAGAGCTTCATATAATGAGACCCTGTCTTGAAAAAACCTACAAACAGAAACTTTAATTTAAAAAATTAGTCAAACAGAATTAAAAGATTTAGGGAAGAATAATGTTCAAAGTGGTAACCCTATAATTACTTTCCAGGTAAACTACATTTTGACCCTAATTGCCTAGGACTGGAGTAAACACAACAAAAGGTTCTCTGCCCAGCTTCCAAAACTTCTGACCTCCTTTGCTTTTGTCCCTTTCTGCTCCTGGGGCACTCACCTGTGTCCACAACCAGCACACCGGCCCCAGAACTTAGCACAGAGTGTAGCAAGGGTTTCCCTCGGCTGTGTGGGTTGATCCAGGCCACAGGGCAGCCCAGCTTGGCCAACCCCAGAAACACACTCAAAGCAGAAATGTTCTTGGAGGGGAGCACTAAGAGGGCAGCAGTCTCTCTGGCCTGATGGCTTGTGGCATCCTTCAGCTTTGCTTTCAGTGCCCATGCTGCCTGACAGGCCCTGGCATCCAGCTGTTTATTTGTGATTGAGCAGGCCCCAGATCCTGTACACAACAAGGCCACTTTGTCAGGCTGTGCCCGTGCTTGCCGCTCAACAGCATCCACAAAAGTCTCTGGAGGTTCCCTGTTAAAGCGTCTCCTGATTTTCAGGCCATAGAAGAGGAGCTTGAACGTGAAGGCCGCATCTTTGTGCAGCCATCGTAGTCCTGGAGGTGGCTGTGGAGGCAACAGGGATAATGTGAGAGCTGCAGCTGCCAGGCTCAGCCAGTGGGGCATCCAGGAGCTGATCCAGGGTCTGGCGAGCAATGTCAAGCTTAGCAGCACAAAACATGTGAGGTCTCCCAGGAACCAACGCAGGGTCAGAGCCATAGCTGCTGGCCATGGGGGATGCCCCAGGCCAACCAGCAGCAGCAGCAGCAGCAGCAGGAAGAGGAAGGTCAGCTTCTGCCAAACACCCATGGCACTGACTCTTTCTGAAGTGGCTGAAAGTGTGTAATCTCAACTGAGCTCTGAAGCCCTAACTTCCTGCCTTTAAGGAAATCTGCCTACCCCACAAATGACCAGATACAATCAGCAACTGCTCTTGACCCCTGGACTCTGTTACTTAGTTCTTACTGGCTGGGAGTCCTCCTACAGTTCCAGCCTCCTGCCTGATTGCCAGGTCTGCCCCATCTCCATTGGACACCACCAACCACCTTTCTCTCCTATCTGTCAGGTGTGGGAAACTAGTGAGACAGGGAACAAAATCTGCCTAACTCCAGCCACAAGAAAAAAACAAGGTAAGGAACACAGCCTGTGGTTTTATTTGTCTGACTTGAACTCCTTTCATGAAACCCAGCCCTTGCCCTGAAGGGGGAAAAGGCACCTATCAGGTAGACAGTAACAGCTCGGTAAATAATTAGAACACCTTTATCATTTAGATTTAAACACGATTCTGCTCTCCTTCATGAGCCCATTGAACTAAGACATTTCCTAATTTCTGGTATCCCTATGGATTGAGTCTTGGTGTAAGAAGGAACCAAACAGAAGCTATTTTGAGCAAAACTTGCATTTTGAATAGGGGCCAAATAAAGTTAAAGTTCCCAAGACCTCCCTAGGAAACTGATCCTGCTTGGCAGACAAAGATGTGTATGTGGGTAGCTAACATCCTGCTTGGCAAGTTGAAACAGTGCTAGGCAGTTGCCCTGCCACAGTTCAATAACCCAACCAGTGAGAACAGGATGGGAGTACTACATAGGGGAAATGTTTCTTTAAAAATTCCCTAGCCCTGAATCCTGATTGGTAGAAAACTGCAGTGTAACTTGGCACAGATACTTGTGGGTTTGAGACTTAAAAGTTTTGAACATTCTGGCTGAGGTCACCTCCTGAGTAAGTCCTGCATCCCTGATGTATAAGTAGTGGCTTGATTACAAGACATTTTTGTTTTTTGTTTTGACTTGAGTGTTTGTGTTGGATCTAAGTGTACCCCATAACATTTGGTGTGCTGGCTGGGAATCCAAACACTCTACCCAAGTACCTGATTGTAATCATCCGCAGCCAAGGGACTTCATTTTTGAAGTCCAAGACCTATGGAGGTAAGCCTCTTTCTGGTTCTGTTTGGTGCATCACTGGTTTATTCATTGAGAGAAGCAGGAGGCAGCACTGCTTTCAGAGTTTGAGGGGACTGAGGGACACCTCATCAACCTCCTGGGCCCTTTGATAGGGCATCTGGTCCTCCCCAGTCTATTGGTTATTCTCAGCATGTTGGTTGGTCCATGACTGTCAGTTTGTGTGTGTAGTTAGTGTTTATTTGATTGTTGCTCTGTGTTTCATACTCAGAGAAATGAGCCAAACTTCATCTGCTGGCAGTTCATCCCTTGACTTAGTCTTCACTCATTTCAAAGATTAACTGGTGCTAAACCAAATGCCATCAACCACTGCAGCAAGACCTGGAGTAATACGCTTGCAGAATGTGATGCTTGACCTGGTGGGCAGCTTTCTCCAGTAGGGAGGATGGCAGGCTAGTCCGGTTACAGAACTGCTTTGTGGGTGAAAACTGGACTGAGCTGGTAACAAGGCACTACAACCTTGAAATTACAGCTAGAAGAGATAAGGAAAGTTTTATCTGTCTGTTTTAAGTGTAGAAATGTATGTGGCCACTACATGTCTGTTTCTGACCAGTCTTAAATATTTGAATTTACTATGTTCTGTGTTTTGGTTACAGATAATAATCAATTAATGGACATGTTTAAAAATCTGTAACATCTGTAACAAAAAGTTATCTTAAGATTTTTATATAGGGGGCTGGAGAGATGGCTCAGCGGTTAAGAGCGTCTGGTCTTTCAGAGGTCCTGAGTTCAATTCCTGGCAACATGGTGGCTCACAACCATCTATAATGCTCTCTTCTGACATGCAGGTATACATGCATATAGAGCATTCATAAACATTAAATAAATAAATCTTTCTTTTAAAAAGATTTTTCATATAATTCCTGTCCTATCTTAAAAACCAGCTTTATAAAAGGTAGAATTTACAACAATACTTGTTTAATGAGGGATTAAAATTAAACCACCACGTGTTCATATACAAAAATGTATCTTACTGGCAGCCAAACTTTGTAACATAAGGGTAATTCACTTGGTACTGATTTTAGAGACACTAAATTGTTTACATTGTTAAAACTAGGTTTTGTCTTCTACAAAGTATGGTTATGCTCTATGTCTTCACTCTTGAAGTTACAAAAAAAAAAAAGACTTTAAGGAACAGGGGAAAGGGGATGTAGGAGGGAGGGTGATACTGGGAGAAGAGGGAGGAGCTTATGACTGAGATATAAATTCAATTAATTAATAAAATAGTACTTTATTTTGATATTGTAAAAGCATACAATTGATATTAATTAATTAATTTTGTTTTTTTAAGGCATGGTTTCTGTGTAGCTATGGCTGTCCTGGACGCTCTGAGGCCAGACTGGCCTTAAATTCACAGAGATCTGCCCGCCTCTGCCTCCCTGAGCACTGGGATCACAGGCGTGCTCTACCGCACCCTACCAATTGAGCGATTTTAAACTTTTTTATTAAAGATTTGTTTATTTATGATGTATACAGTGTTCTGTCTGCATGTATGCCTACACACCAGAAGAGGGCGCCAGATCTCATTATAGATAGCTTGGGAATTGAACTCAGGACTTTTGAAAGAACAGCCAGTGCTCTTAACCTCTGTGTAGCCTTGCCTGTCCTGGACTCACTTTGTACACCGGGCTCACCTTGAACCTACTGCACTCTGCACTCTGCCTGCCGCTATGTCAACTGCCTGTGAGCCACCATGCCTGGCTGATTTTAAACTTCTTTAAAGAAAATTTTGGGAGGTATGGAGAGATAGCTCAGAGGTTAAGAGCACTGGCTGTTCTTCCTAAGGTTCAGAGTTAACCACATGGTGGCTTACAACCATCTATAATGAGATCTGATGCCCTCTTATGGCCTGCTAGCACACATGCAGGCAGAATACTGTATTAAATCTTATTTAAAAAAAAAAAAAAAAAAGTGATTTGGCCAGGCATAGTAATGCATGCTTTTAAACCTAGCACTCAGGAGGCAGAAGGAGGACCTCTGTGAGTTCAAGGCCATAATGGTACCAGGCCAGGGATACATAGAGAGACCTTGTCACAAAAAAAAAAAAAAAAAAAAAAAAAAAAAAAAGCAGAAGAAAAAAAGGAAAATTTTGGGAGGTGGGATTTAGTTAGTGGTAGACAACTTTCCTAGCAAGTGCAAAGCCTTGGGTCCAGTCCTCAGTTCTGGAAAAAAGAATAAAAGGGAAGTTTTGGAATTTTACAGAAAATTAAAAACTGGATTTTTGAATCCCTGCACGCCAGATCTCATTATAGATGGTTGTGAGCTACAATATGGTTGCTGGAAATTGAACTCAGGATCTTTGGAAGAGCAGCCAGTGTTCTTAGTCTCTGAGCCATTTCCCTAGACCCCAAAACTAGATATTTTTAAGACAGCTTTTTAAAATGTTTACATTTATAGGACTGGAGAGATGGCTCACTGTTTAAGAGCATTGGCTGCTTTTCCCTAGCACCCGTGTTCAATTCCCAGCAACCATATGGCAGCTCACAACTGTCTGTGACTTCAGTTTCAAAGGATCTGCAGACAAAAGGCCAATGTATGTAAAATAAAGATAAATAAATAAAAAGACTAATGCTAAAAATGTTTACATATATAAGGCTATTTTAAAGTTTATCAGATATTTTATTATGTCTTTATTAATATATGATCTTGATAAATAGGTAAATAAAAGACTAAACATTAGTGCCACAGCTAAACACCACAGACTAAAGAATTCCTATCTTATAATGCAGTGAGGCAATGACCTTAAACACTCTGACAAAGACTTTGGAACAATTTCTCAACCTATGGGTCTCAACCCTTTGAGGGTCAAAAGACATTTTCACAGGGGTAGCCTGGATTTGCCTGCAAGTCAGATGTTTATTTTATGGTTGGGGTCACTACAACATTAAAAAAAAAACTATATTAAATGGTTACAACATTTAAAAATTGAGACTCTCTGGCTTAAAAATAGTCCTTATCTAAGGACTATTCAGGCTAACAGAGACTGATTTAAGCATATATGTCTAACCTCCTTGTTTTTACTAGCATTGTTAAGCTACAGATATTTTGGTAAACTAAGTTATACAAGAAAACTGTTGTGTTCTATAATGACATACCAGATAAGTACAGCCTAAATAAATAAATAAACCATGTAAGTTCCCAGTCTCTTTATAGACTACATTTATAAGTTAAAAATCTTTGTAGGGGGGGTGTGTCTGTGTAGTCCTGGCTATCTCAGGCTTGCTTTGTAGATCAGGCTGGTTCGAACTCACAGAGATCCACCTGCTCCTGACGCCCTGAATGCTGGTAATACAGGCATACACTACCACACCTGGCTAAAAATCTTATCTTGATACTAAAACAGCTTCAATCCAGAAATTGTTATTTTTATTATAAACTGTTAAACATGAATAAACTGTGATATTGTCAGAACTGTATTTGTAGTCATGCTAAGTACTAACGCAATTAATTATAGGAATAAGCCTTATTTGGCCTCCTGTTTTTGTTTTCAAGGTACAGCCTAAAGCAAATAATTAAATACAGACAAGGCTTGATTGACTCAGATATTCATGATAGATACTGGAGAATTGATAGCCTCACTTTACCTAGACAAGATGAAGTCAGTCTCTCCCATCCCCCTCCTCCACACAAATGTCTCTGCCACTGTCCTGAAACCTCTGCCCCCATCACCAATGAGAGAGAGACCACAGAAGCGTGGGGTGGCTGCCTAAGTAATGAACTATGGATCAGTCTCTGTCATTTTAATTAATACATAGGCCATTTAGATTATAATTTAACCTTCTTGGGTCTCAGATCACATTGACAACTACGCTAACTAGCTTAGTCAGCAAGAGAACAACAGACAACTAGTTCCTTTCCCCAAGGTAATCAACCACCTTGTTAGTTCATTAGTTAATTAAAATTACTGGATCTCTTGTTAAGAAAAGGAAGACTGGGGCTGGAGAGATGGCTCAGAGGTTAAGAACACTGGCTGTTGTTCTTCCAAAGGTCCTGAGTTCAATTCCCAGCAACCACATGGTGGCTCATAACCCTCTATAATGAGATCTGGTGCCCTCTTCTGGTGTGCAGGCAGAATGCTGAATGCTGCATTAAACAAACAAACAAAAGGCAGACAAGGTTTCCCTTGCTCTCGGGCTTCAGATTAAAGGATAAACCGGGTTCAAATGTAACTTTTCACTAAAAGAACATGGTTTACAATGACTAATTATCATCAATAATGATCGCTTGTGTCTCTGGTAAATTATTAGATTAAAAAAAAATTCAAAGTCAATGGAAGTTCTAACAAACTTAAAACTTAAGTTCTAAGGGTCTTGAAAATTATTTAAAGCATATAAAGTCAAGCTGTAAAAATCTATTGTTATAACAGAAAAGACACTGTTTTTTAAGAGCACTGTTTTTAAGAGCACTGGCTGCTCTCCCAGAGGTCCTGAGTTCAATTCCCAGCAACCACATGGTGGCTCACAACCATCTATAATGAGATCTGGTGCCCTCTTCTGATGTGAAGGCATACATGCAGATATTATATAAGTAATAAATAAATAAATAACTTTATTTTAAAAATCTATTGCTATAACAGAAAAGACACCAGAAGCAATGGGAGAAAGGGAACAGGACAGGAGCCTATCATAGATGTCCTCTGAGAGACTCCACCCAACAGGGATCACAGCCAAATTTTGGACAGAACAGGGAGTCTTATGGAAGAAGCAGAGGATAGAAGCATCCATAGGGGACAGGAGCTCCACAAAGAGAACAACAAAGCCAAGAAATCTGGGCCCAGAGGCCCCTGCAGAGACTAATGCACCAACCAAGGACCATGCATGGAGAGGACCCAGACCCCCTGCTCAGATGTAGCCCATAGGCAGCTCAGTCTCCATGTAGGTTCCCTAGTAAGGGAAGCATGGCCTGTCTCTGACATGGACTCAGTTGCCTGCTCACTCTTTGATCACTTCCCCACAGCAGGGCAGCCTTGCCAGGCCACAGAGGAAAAGGATCCAGGCAGTCCTGATGAGACTTGATAGGCTAGGGTCATATGATACAGGAGGAGGACTCCCTTTCAGTGGACTAAGGGAGGAGGATAGGGTAGAAGAGGGTGGAAGAGTAGGACCAGAAAAAAATCAGGGAGAGGGCTACAATTGGGATATAAAGTGAATAAATTGTAAAAAAAATTAAAACAAACAACAAAACAAAACAAGAGGGCTGGAGAAATGGCTCAGAGGCTAAGAGCACTGGCTGCTCTTCCAAATGTCCTGAGTTCAATTCCCAGCAACCACATGGTGGCTCATAACCATCTATAATGAGATCTGGTGCCCTCTTCTGCCCCACAGGCACACACACAGGCAGAATACTGTATAAACAATAAATAAATCTTAAAAATAATTTTAAAAAATAAATTAATTTTAAAAAGTTTATTGTTATGAGATTTCAAAGGTTCAAAGTTTTAACATTGATAAATGAAGTTCTGATAAACTCGTAAAACTGATAAACTGATAAAAGAGCACTGACTACTTACTATTTAGTCAGGATTTTAAATTTCCTTTGGTTATCTTCTAAATATAGACTTAAGGATATCTAGAACTTTTATCTCCTTTGATAAACTAAAATTCAGCTGGGCGGTGGTGGCACATGGCTTTAATCCTAGCCCTTGGGAGCCAGAGGCAAGCAGATCTCTATGAATTGGAGGCCATCTTGGTGTACAGAGTTCCCAGACAGCCAGAGCTATAGAGAAGCCATCTCAAAACACCAAAAAACAAACAAACAAAAAAACACTAAAATTCATGTGAGTTTCAGTATGGAGTCAAAAGGGTCATAAGGCTTGAATCCACCTGCCACAAGTCATATGGACTCCAGATAAGTACAACCTAAGTTTCTGCACCTGTCTATTGCTGAGAATGGATTCCTCCCCTTCACTAATTACTAGGAAATTTTAACATCTGTCCTTAGTCTATTTGTTTCAGCAGATTCCCACTTGGCTGACAGACTCCATCCAGGGAACATCTTCAGACTACAAACTGCTGAGCTCTTGACTTGCTGAAAGGTTACATAAATCAGTCCATCCAATGGACTGTCTCTGCAGCTGAATCAGGTAACCAGATGCTTCTAAAACTGCCCCATCACCCAGCCTTTGACCAGCATTTCGGCTTTCCTGGGTCCTGACAACTGATGCCCCAATTTCACCTGGTACTAGTTACAGAAGAGAGTTCATTGTCCTTGCCCCCTTAATAGGCTGAGAATGCTCAGTCAAAAGTAAACTCCTTTGGGGGGGAAACTTTTGTTTTTATACCAATCATTCTGGGATAGACCGAGACACTTTAGCAAAAATAAAATAAAACCTGATGGATAGTGAGGAACTAAGGAGACAGGCTAATAACTGCTTCCAATATCTCTTTGATTGGTCCTGTCGGCTAACCACCTTGCTCAGCACGATACCAGGACCACTGGCCCTTCTTTTCCTCCTGCTCCTCAGTTATGGTCATGGTCCTAAGGACCCATTACAATTCCTTATACTCTGAAATAGATAATCAAGGATCTGAATACTGTACAAGAGGGGTATTTAAAAAGGAACCAAACTGAAGCCATTTTGAGTAAAACTTCCATTTTGAATAGGGGTCAAAGTTTATGTTTCCAAGATCTCCCCTGGTAACCAACATCCTGGTTGGGAAGATAAGACATGAATGCTAGGCAAGTCCCCTTACCACAGTTAATAAAGCAACCACTGAGAACAGGTTAAGTGTGCCACATAGGAAAAGTTCCCTTTCCCCAAAACCTGACTGGTAGAAAAATGTGTCACTTGGCACGTCTGGTTTGTGGTTTTCAGGTTTAAAAGCTCTGTAACACTGACTCATGGTGGTATCTGGAGGTTGGGAGTAGGCATGGGGGTTTGCAGTTCAGTTCCCAAGTCTGCATCCCTAATCTATCCATAATGGCTTGATTGCAATAAATTTCTGTTTTCTGTTTTGGTGGTTGAGTTGTGTTGAATCTAAGTAGACCCCATAACACTGGAACTCAGAAGGCTGAGCTATGCTTGTGATACCCAGACACAGAGGAGTCCCATAAGGCCAGGAGACAAGTAGGTAGAGCTGGGGCCTGATCTTCCATGCTAGAGCCCTTCCCCTGGCACCAAATCCGTAGAGTGAGGCATCAGCTCATCAGAGGTGGGAAGGAGACAGGGAGAATGATGCCTCTCTGAGCTGATGACAGCAGATCTAATGCTGTTTTCTTTGACACTAGGTCACCTTCTTTATTCAATTGGCAACCTGGGTCCTAGCCATTCTTGCTTCCCTCCTACCTGACACAGCTATCCAGTTCACTCTGCATTCTCTAGTACTTGGCTGGTGCCCCAGTATTCAGGGTTCAAATACCCTCAAAGCAGCCTGGACCCCAAAACCCTCCTGGGCATCTCACAAGTAAGGTGTCCAACATTCATGTCTATCATAATTGGGAGGGAGAATCTTAAGTCTAAAATGTTTCTGGTTGAAAAAGGGACTCCATTGTGAATGTAGCAGCCAGTATTTCGAATGGGAATTCCCTCCCCACAGGGCTAAACACTTCAAGAAAACTGGATGACTATTTTATATATATTCAGCCCATCCACCCACCTAAATCCCCAAATACAAGTTCAGGATATGGAACCAAACTGTGCCTAACTGCCCAGGAAATCTCAGAGGACTGCAAAGAAGGTGCAAACCAGGAACATGGGGACCAAGCCCCAATATCATAGCACAGAAAGCCTACGAGGCATGCACTGGCCCAATGTCCTTTATTAGAACAGAATCCTAAAGTCCCATAGTAGGTTCCCTCATGCTGAATGAAGGAAGGGTGGCCCAAAATAGGGGTGAGGTCAGAGAATTCTAGCCCAGCACTGGGACAGAGGACAGCCCTAGATACCATACCTGGCAGGGGTTGGGGCACAAATCCAGCATCGGGTTCCAAGAGTCTGTGTGCCCAGCTCAACCTGGAAATGGAAATGGCTATGTCTCTGAGGTGGCAGGGTCTCTGACTATCTTCTACCCAGTCATGTCCATCCAGAAAAGATAAGCATGTGTAGGAGGAAAATAGGATTCTGAATCCCAAGTCCATGGGGAAAATGGGGTCAGAGTGGAAAAGGGAAAGGGTCCGTACTCTGTAGCAGAAGCCTTTTAGTGGAGTGGACCTTGCCCAAGGCATCTGACTGTGCCTGTGTGAGGTGTGCAGCTGGATCTTAATCAAGGTGCAGGGTGAGCTGCCAGGTGCCGCTCCAGCAGGGCACGATGTGAGAAAACCTTGCCACAGGCAGGGCAGGGCGCACGCTCAGGCCTGTGTGTGCGCATGTGCACGTTGAGGGAACTCTTCTGCGTGAAGCGCTTGGCACACACTGCACACTGGAAGGCTCGCACGCCGGTGTGTGTGACCATATGCTTAAGCAGGTAGTCACGTAGCGAGAAGGATCGCCAGCACACTGCGCACTGATGTGGCTTCTCCCCTACAGATGACAAAGCAAGTCACACACACATTAGTCCTGCTTGCTCTCCATGGGGTCTGTTCTTGGAAGGGATTCCTCTATTTTCCCTCCCAAATCAATTCAGGACACCTTTGCTCGTCAAGGAAACCACTCTGGAATCCTGCTTTGCAGGGATCCCCTCTCCTGGACCCACATCCCCATTCAACTATGCCATTGTCTAGAAGGGACCCTAAAAAAATGAATCCTACTGGTCTTGAACGCCTATTGCCCATTTGGACTATACACTCACATCTCCCCAACCTCAAGGATTCTTCTTCCCCAACTTCCACCAGCCTCCTCTACTCAGACCCTTTTTGTGATCCACTTTCATGGGAATAAGCCTTTCATCCTTCAACCCACGTCTCCTCCTGCAGCTCCCACTCCAGAAGCTGGCCAATTTCCCACCAACGCTTCCTTTAACCTGACCACCCCAGGCTGAGGCTAGCTTTCCAAAGGCTTTGGAGTCTTTGGAAAAGCAGGCTCCCACTTTTACAGGGGAGCTAAATTTCCAGTCTTCTAGGGTTATCACAAAACAAAGCTGCTCAAATGGCCAATCCCACCCGGGGAACCAAATCTCCAATGATTAAGGATATTAGAAATCTGTGCTAGTAGAGGCAATTTCCTTTCCTCTCCCACTCACCAGAGTGAATGAACATGTGCTTGGTGTAGTTTTTCCTGGAGCTGAATGTTTTGCGGCAGTGGCTACACTCATAGGCCGGTTGCTCAGCACCTGGGGCCCCGGGGGCTCGCAGAGGAGCGCTTGAGATGGCTGTGGCCTGAGTAGCAGGCACAGCTGGGAGCACAGCTGGGGTTTCTCCCAGCTGAGCACTGGGGGCTGCATCTGGCTGGAGCGTAGGGTAGAAGGTAGGTGGGGGCGCAGGGGTTGGCCCCGATGGAGTAGAAGGTGTTGGTGCTGGAGGACCCGGGGCGCCCAGGTGAAAGGGAAAGAGAGTCACTGGGGGGCCCGGGGTCTTCACGCCAGTTGGGCGAGGCCCAGCCAAGGCACAGTCAGGTGGAGCAGAGGTTTCCACTGGACAACCTTCTGGACCCCCGCTGCTTTCTTCATGCCAAGCTGACACATAACTATCTGGAAACACATCCTCGGTCACTGTAGTCCCCCGAAGGAAATCTCTCCCAGCACCACCATAATCAGTGATGGCAGCGGATGCAGGTAGGTCCTCAAGAGCACTGTCAGCTTCGGTAGTAAGGAAGCCTCCTGAACAGTCAGGGAAGGCAGAGGGCTCCTGGCCCTCACTTGGGCCACTACCACCTTCACCTTCTTCAGCGTCAGTTTCTTCATCTGTCTCTTCATCGTCATCCTCGTCACCTCTGTCTTCTGGGGCGGCAGTCAGCGCTGGCTCTGCATCGGGGCCCTCGGCCTTGATGGGTGCCGGGGGTGCAGGCAACTGAAGCCGTGCAGGCTGGCGCTGCTTGCGACTGTGTGCAGCATTGGGATGTCCTGGTGGGCGAGCAGCCAGCAAGTGGCGTAGACGGTGGCGTAGCTGCGCAGGTGCAAGTGGAGGGGCCACGGGTGGTGGCAGAGGCGGAGGCGCTGGTGCACTGGGTACACGGGCACGCGCAATGATTTGAGTGCATTCATCAATGACTGTCTGGATGCGAAGCACAGAGGCTGCTGTGAGGACCTGCAGCGCTTCGCCCTGTGCCACCACCAGAGAGCCGCTGTACAGGAACTCGACCAACTGACGCACTGTCTGCGCAGGCACCACTGGTGGCACACGAATCTCTGAGTGGCCAAGCAGCAGCTTATCCTGGAAGAAGGGTGAGCCAGCAGCCAGCACACAGCGGTGCGCACGCAGCGAAGCCTCTCGGATGCGCACAGTCACATCGCAGAAGTGACCGCCTAACCTCTGCCCGTTGAGGGTCTCCAGTAGTGAGCGCGAAAAGTTCTGGAGGTGGATGTGGTGCACTGCCTCTGTCGCTGCCATCTGCTAGATGAGGAGACAAGGAGACAATGGGAAGTGGGCTATCAGCTAAGGACTCTGCCATCGTATGTCCTAGTTCCCTTAGTCCTTTCACAAGGTTTCGTCACATCCTCAGGCTTGGCACACCTCATGGGTCCCTAGCAGCCAGTCCCTAAGTCCCTGAACCAACACATAAAATACAGCCCCAGACTAAGTACTCTTCAGTGAACTCCATCCCTGGAACCCCAGAATATATCCCCTACTTTCTGTCCCAAGGAGGATTCAGGCTTAGCCTCCGACTGGGAACTTACCCAGCTCCCATCTTTAATAGCCTTAAATCATGGGAAGGCCCTCCTTCCAAGGGGTAGCCTTGTTTAAAACAAAACAAAATGCTAGTAAGCCCTGTTCAAAACTGGCAACCCTGCCTAATTGAGAATGACCTTTCTGAGGAACAATAGGCTAGCTCATCTCCACCAAGCTATCCATGACACTTTCTACTCTGGCTTTTTTCTTTTCTTTTGTATTCTTCCCTAGTCAGACTTCTTTATCCTAACACCAGTAAGATCCCACGAAGATCCAAGATTGCCTCTGAACTAGGTCTCACTAACTAGTGTATTTGGAGGGTGGGATGCACCTGCCTGGCACAGAATGATTTGGGAGCACCTCTTCAAGCTGGGCATTAGTGTCCTTCATATCCAAGGAAAGCAATAAATAGTACAGCCCCCCCCCCTTTTTTTTCTTTACATCACCTGAGAGGTGCTATGTGGGGGCTTTAAAACTTTAAAAGGGATCTGAAAGGCCAGCAAGCTAGAATCCCATACTTCTTATGAACCCTAAATCATCATCCTGGCACTAACCATGCTGGGGAACTGGACAAGGATAGTATTCCTCCGTATCTCCCCCACCCCTGTGCAAAGCCCTGCAAAGGAGCTGGGAATTTGAGATATCAGTTAACCCATCAAGCAGGCAACTCCAGGTCTCTCAGCCTGTTTCCTTATTCAACAAACAACAGTGTTACACTTGGGTCAGACTTCATACAACTCTAAGGGAGAGAATCAAGATACAGGTTATGTCCTGATGTCTGTCCACTGTCCACCAGCCTGTCTCTCTAGGGCCATGGCCCCAGAGTTCCCACTCCATTAAATCCTGCTCATATACAGGGACTACTGAAATCTCAGACTCAATGTTTCTAGATCCTTAATACAAAAACGCCCTTCCCTTTGGCACAGCCAGATTCCTCCCTTTCTCTTGGATTATTTTATACATCGTTCTAGTTACCATTAGCCTGGACTGTTGGAAGTCACCTTACATCCCCACCTCCAGGCCTTTCCCTCATGCGGCAGCCAGAGGGAGCCTAACCTAGTTTATCTCTGCGACGATGAATTAATTCCTCACACGGACCAAGGCTTTGCACCTACCTCTGTCAACGGCCTCCTTTTTCAACTAGTGTGCCACCCATACGTCCTGAATTCCTCCTCAAACCCAATCCCGGCCTACTTCCCAGAGGGTCGGAGTTCTTAGATGCAGCAGGACCTTCCTGCATGTCTCAAAACAAAAGCACACTCTCCCACTTCTGCTGCTACGTTCTCGCGGCCACACCCTCACCCAGGCCATACATTTTGTTCCACTAACCTGTCTCTCTCCCACCCTACGCCAGAGACCACTTCAGGCCCACTACGACAGCACCCACTCTTTCCCGCCTCTGCACCCTTGCCTGCACTCCGCCCCGGTTCTGCAGTGCCCTCTTGCGTTCGCAACGTGCGCACCGATCCTCACGCGAGCGTCCCTCTCCAGGCACGCCCCAGCCTTCCCCCTGACTCTGAGGCAGGGGAATGACCGCTTGACCCCACCTCCGACTCCTCAGGCACCAGGCTCAGTAGTGGCTACCTCCTGCTTGTCAATTTGAAGGCCGCACTTCCGGGCCGCGAAACGGAACCGTTGCCCGCGGCGCAGGCGGAACGATAGTGGGGAGGACGTTTCCGTTGTTTCTAGTAAGTATAGGCAGTCGTTGGACAGCACTTCCGGTCTGGTTCGCGTCAGAATCAAAATCGCAGAAGCTTGGGTTGGTAGAGATCAGTGAGCTGGAGTACGTTTCCGTTGTCTCCTGGCTCATGTGAGTGACCTGTCAATCAATCCTCGGGCCACGCCCTCGGTACTCTCAGCGGGTCTGCAGAGGGCGCTCAAAACCGAGGCTAAAAGCCTGGACCTATTCTGATGGGGTTTCTTTTACAAGAGAGAGAAAGGTTCTCTCCAGTCTCTTACATTCCCAGCCCAGATGAGGATGCTTCGCAGACTCCCCTGCAGTCGCTCTAAAGAACACAGACCTGCCTTCCCATGGAAGCATCCTCATTCGGTGCCCCACCCAAGCCCCCAGATATTTCCTGCTCTATAAATGAATGGTTGTGGAATCAATGTCCCAGCTTGGCCACAGATCAGAATAGAATATAGGACATGAAGTGGGGTAGAAAGCAGGGACCAGTAGCCTAGCCACGCAGAACAGCCAGAGAGTCGTCCACAAAGGCCCCAAGGTCCTTTTGTTGTCCAAGACACCCATGAACCAAACCTATCAAGTGATGGGTTGGCCTTCCTTTCCCCTCCATTCTTGGGGCAATCAGTCAGCCACTGTGTAAGGCCAGGTACCTGGTTTCAGTGTATCTGATACTGTGGAATCTGACGGGTTGATACCTCAGGAGGAAGATGTCAGTATGCTTTATTCTCCATCCTGGACAGATGCTGGAGAGCTGTGTCGTGTGTCCTGGTGAAGTTTATCCCGGATAAACCTTATTAGAACCCAAATTTAGGACTGGGAATGTAGGTCAGTTGCTAGAGTACTTACCTAGCATTCAGAGGCCTTGGGCCTGATCCTCAACATCATGGCAGTTGTGTGCAGTGTCTCACATCTGTAACCCAAGGACTTGAGAGTTTGAAGCAGAAGGGTCAGAAGTTCAAGGTCACCCCCAGATGTTAGAGTTTGAGCCCAATCTGGGCTATATACAAGATGCTGTCTGAAAAAAAGAACCCAAAATTTTACAGCCAAGAACACTATCACTTAAGAAGAGAGAAGCTGGAAGAACTGGAGCTTTAAGGCAGCTTCAGCTGTAAGAACCTGTTCATCAAAAACAAACCCACCTGCTGGACAGTGGTGGTGCAGGCCTTTAATCCCAGCACTCCAGAGAAAGAGTCAGGCAGATCTGTGAGTTTCAGGCCAGCCTGGTCTACAGAGAGAGTTCCAGGACAGCCAGGCTGCACAGAAAAAAACCTGTTTTGAAAAGCCAAATCAGACTAAACCAAAACCCACTTAAGTAGAAGAGCTGGGGAAATGCCTTAGCATTCATGAGACCCTGCACTGGCTGAAATAAACAGCGAAATGACCAAGCATAATTGTCTGGCATCTTTACATCTGTTCAGGTTCGGAGCCCAAGAAAGAGACCCTGCCTTCTCCCACTGAGTCACTTCCTTCATACTTGACAACCTTCTCTTTGCTCATTTCTCTCCAGTTAAGGGGACCCTTCTCTGTAACCATTTTGTTGCCTCACCTTCTTACTTGACTGCTATGTCATCAGGGCCTTCTCTAATGTCAGGCTTTACCATGTTCCATCATGTGACTTGTCTCCTCCATCATGGAGTCTCCTACAGTAACACACGGGCACAGCCCTATTTTGGGCTGCCATTGAGTTTTACCCTGCAAGCATACCACCAAACTAATCTGGCAAAGAGGAGTCTGGATGCTAGTGCTGTATATCTGTAAACCCTATTGGTACTATTTAGGAGTGCAGGAACAGATTTTTCTGAATTGAAGGTTCAAAAGGCACCTAGACTAGTGGTGGCACATACCTTTAATCCCAGCACTGGAGGCAGAGGCAGGCTGATCTCTGAGTTCAAGGCCAACCTGGTCTATAGCGTGAGTTCCAGGACAGCTAGAGTTACATGAAGAAACCCTGTCTGGAGCCGGGCAGTGATGGTGCATACCTTTGATCCCAGCACTCAGGAGGCAGAGTCAAGCAGATCTCTGTGAGTTCAACACCAGCCTGGTGTACAGAAAGTCAGGAAAAGCTTATTTATAGAAGACTGATCAATTAGAGTTAAAAAAACTAATAGTAAGCCAGAAACAGTGACACATGCCTGTAATCCTAGCACTCTGGGAGGCAGAGGCAGACAGATCACTGTAAATTTGAGGCCAGCCTGGTCTACAAAGTTAGTCCAGGACAGCCAAGGCTACACAGAGAAACTCAAGTCTTGAAACAAACAAGTAAAAAAAAAAAGTAATAAAACCAGGGCAGGCACTGCATATACCAATGAAAGGACCAGGCCTCCTGACCCTCTGCCCCAAAAGTCATCAGTCCCAAGAACTAGGCCATAGGTCACCAATTCCAGAAATAAGAAAACCATAAAATTCCCTACCCAAGGAATAGCCTGGAGGTAACCACAAGAATGGGAAGGTATCTTATCTCTGGGTGGGGCATCTGTGCTGGGCAGCTCACAGAATTAACGTTCCTGAGGTCTATAGATAGATCACTGAATGATAGTTATGTTAGTTAGCCAATCACTTTGAAACAAGCTTGTCCTTGCTGAATGTCATCCAATTGTGTAACTGCTAAACTGGGAAATCTGGGTTCTTGCTCAAACCCCAAATAACCCCCCCACCCCCCCACCCCCAGTGTAGCTGCTCAGGGCTCTCCTCTCTGATCCACTTTAATGGTGATCGTGGGGAGACCGAACTTAAGCCTGAATAAAGCTCTTTGCCCTTGCATCATGGACTGGCTCCTGGTGGTCTTTGAGGACCTTAAGAGCTGAGCACAACACCCAGAGGAGGAAAAATACAGGGGAGGAAGAAAACAAGCCAGTCATACTGTTTAACAAGCATGGAAGTTAGTCACATTGTAGACAAACAAACATACAACAGGGATAGGAGCTTTAGAGAAAAGATTAAGGATGGCCAAAGTACCAGAAAAAGTATACTTTCACTCTGGACAGCTTTGAAAAGAAAAAGACAAAAAAGGAAACAAAAGTTGTAGGGTTTTTGTTGTTGTTGTTGTTGCTGCTGTTGTTTGTTTTTCAAGACAGGGTTTCTTTGTGTAGCCTTGGCTGTTCTAGTCTTGATTTGTAGACCAGGCTGGCTTCTAACTCAGAGATCTGCTTGCCTTTGCAAAGCAAAGTGGGCAGACCCAGTGGAAAGTTATGGAGGCTTGTGGGTAACTTTGGGAAAGGAAAAGTACAGTATGTCATTAAAGGTATAATTATTCCACCTTTTATCTAGCATTACTTACGTTGAGCCCACCTTTCTGAAGGGTTGTGTTTTGGCTAGGTGATTGACCAGCCCCGCTGGATTAGTTCTCTACTTTTTGAGTAGCTTGCAATGTTAGGTCTCCACTACCAATTTTCCATTAATGGGCATTTGCTGCTGCTGTATCAGCACCATCATTCGGGAGGCTGAAGCAGGAGTATTACTATGGGCTACAGAGTGAGAACCAGGTTACTAGAACTACATAGTAAGGACTCTTGTTTTTAAACTCAATACAACAAAAAAAGGTCAAGAGTGGTGGCACACGCCTGTAATCTCAGCACTTGGGCAGCAGAGGCAGGTGAACCTCTGTGAGATGAAGGCCAGATTGGTCTAGAGTGAATCCAGGACAGCCAAGGCTACACAGAGAAACTGTCTCAAATAAACAAAAACAATAACAAATGACAAAACAAAGCAAACAACAAAAAGATTTGTTGCAAATCCCCAGAATTTATAGTCATGTTAAGTGAATAGGTATACTCTACTGAAAAAATTTTTGAAGAGGTGATCAAAGTTGTTCATCAAATACTTTTTTTTGTTTGTTTAGGATTTTTTTTTTCTGTATACAAATACTCTGTTTTCATACATACCAGAAGAGAGAATAAGATTTCATTACAGATAGTTATGAGCCACCATATAATTGCTGGGAATTGAACTCAGGACGTCTGGAAGAATAATCAGTGCTCAATCTCTGAGCCATCTCCTCAGCCTCCAACAAATACTCTTTTAAAATAGGAGATTATTGAGTCTAGAGAATGGCTCATTGGTTACAAGCGCTTCCTGCTCTTTCACAGTAGAGGGGGGTGGGGAAGAAAAAGGAAAAGATATGACTGTTCCTAGTTATGATGAAGGAGAAAGGAGAAAGGAGAAATTTTGTTTTAGATGAAAGGGACAGTACAGCTAAGGCAGACACATTTGGGAGAGCCTAGGTGGTCACAACCTTGAGCCACGTGAGAGGGTGAAGAGGAAGGTAGAAGAAAAAGAGAGGAACCAGGTGCCCCAACCAAGAGGCTCAAAATAGAGAGTAGACAGAAAGATTAGGTAACCAAAATGTTTCGATTATATAGGGAGGGATAGTTGGGGGAAGGGCAGCCCAGCCCTTGGACTGAAAAGTTTAAGGTGTAGGTGGCAATTTGCCAACCAAGAGGGCCCTGTAACAGGTAGGGACTAAGGGATGCTGGAAGAACCTGGTGGCCAGGTCTGCTTTGATGTGTTCAATATGCACCTCAGCCATTTGTTCCAGGTTTAAAACCTAACACAGAGGACCCAGATTCAAGTCCTAGTGCCCACTGGTGGCTCACAACTATCCACAACTCCAGTTGAAGGCATTTGATATCTTCTTCTGTCTTTCACAGGTACCAGGCACTTGCGTAGTACACAGACATACATTGAGATGTGAGGCCTGTGTAACCCCATTTCTGAAAAAGAAACTTTGTCTTAATGGTAAATGACCTGGGCATAAACTCCAGTTTCAAAAGGGAGAAAAACCCACAAAAATAAATGTGCTTAGATTACTCACCTCTGGTAATATTTAACTATCACCCCTAGCAACAGCTAATCAGGGAATAAATACCTGAAGTTTACCCAGGTGCTCTTTTTGTTAGGATGAGTAAAACAATAACAGTTTGGCATTCCAGACACCTGATATTTGCTAAATATCAATCATAAAACTGCTAAACTGGGATTTCCCTAACCTTGCTGTAATCCAGCAAGGTTAGAGGGCAGGGATAATTAGATAATAATTATCTAATTATCTAATAATTAGAGGGCAGGGATCTGCCTGCCTCTGCCTCCCAGAAT